AGCTCAAACTGTGTTGTGTAACCCGGAGTCTCTCATTAACACTGATGAGGATCTGAGCACATTTACATTTCGCATGCAGTGTAGACCATGTGATACGCACAACAGGAGTCAAACGCCTGGCCAATCCAAAGTCAATTCAATTCAATTCTTTTACATACAGTGCATCCGGAACGTATTCATAGTGCTTCACTTTTTCACATTTTTTTATGTTACAGCCTTTTTGCAAAATGGTTTAAATTCATTTATTTTTTCAACATTCAACACACAATACCCCATAATGACAAAGTGAAAAAAAAACAATTATTGCAAATTTTTAAAAATAAAACACCTGAAACATTACATGTACATAAGTATTCACAGCCATTGCTCCATACTTTGTTGATGCACCTTTGGCATTCTGTGGCATGATGCCACAAGCTTGGCACACATCTTTGGGAAATTTTGCTCATACCTCTAGCAGTATCTCCCAAGCTCTATCAGGTTGGATGGGAAGCGACAGTGGACAGCCATTTTCAGATCTCTCCAGAGATGTTCAAAAGGATTTAGGTCTGGGCTCTGGCTGGGCCACTCAAGGACATTCAATAAGATGTTGTGAAGCACTCCATTGATACTTTGGCAAATAGCCATCAAGTCAAAATTAATAGCCCTCCTGTGAAATTTTAACATATTTCCCAAGTGTTTACTTAATGGAGAGATTTTTTTTTCAGCACATAATTATTATTATTATTTTTTTTACAAAGTTTTACTTATTTCTAATAATTAATCTTTTTGTCTTAGCCATGAAGACAGTACATATTTTTTTCTATTTATTTTGCAAGACACTGATCTTTGGCTAAAAGTTCAATTTAAAGACATAACTAGGTTAAGGATTAGGTTAACTAGGCAAGTTACTGGAAAAAAGTATTTGTTCAGTAGACAGTTGAAGGGAGGGGGGGGGGGTGCACACTCACACTTATATGGCTATATTTATTTTGTTATATATTTTTTAGATTAGACTGAATTCATATTTGTTGTCATTACACATGTACAAGTACGAGGCAAGTAAAATAAAACCAGGAGTGCAAGATATAAGGGTAAGTTATAAAGTGCAATTATAAAAAAAACTATGGGTAATATTTACAGATGGATGTACTACAATATATACAGGTTGTATTAACTATGAACAGAGATTTACTATAGATAAATATGTGGGGTGGGGTGGGGGGGAGGGAGTTCAAAAAGGAGACAGCTCTGGGGGAAAAGCTGTTCCTCAGTCTGCTGGTTTTTGTCCAAGGGAGCCTGAAGCTTAGGTTTAGGGGTAGGGGTATAGAATATATATTATATCACCCAGAGAATATATATTCCATCCCCCTATCCCTAAACCACCTCTCACAGGAAACATTCTACATGTTTACATTTTCAAAATGCCCAGTTCTGTGTGATTTTTAGGCCACAAGATCAAAATGTACTTTTTGAATATGGAATAAAAGGCACACACACACACACACACACACACACACACACACACACACACACACACACACACACACACACACACACACACACACACACACACACACACACACACACACACACACACACACACACATACACACACATACACACACACACACACACAGACAGACACAGACAAGTATCAAATTAGTCTAGTCTTTTTTGTCACATGATAATATGCAGATTTGCCTGAAAAACATTTTCTGATTATTATCCATGTATTTTCAAAATAAAAAACCACAATGCATTTATTTTCAGAGTCTTTTGGCTAACAAAAGTTACAAAAACATAATTTTACTAAAATATATATTTTTTGTAACTTTATAAAAGTATTTAGTGTTAAAAAAAAGGTTCAAAACCCAAGCAATATGAATGCGGTGATATTAGTGAATTTATTATTTTTTTTTCTGGTTACCATTTTGTTATATTGAATCCTAAAGCAAAGTCATTTGAGCATAAAAAAACAGAAACTGCATCAGTCTATGTGGCTCAAACGCCACTGACCGCAGATCAGTCAAGTGACGAGACAGAGATTCAGACACAGCAGGTTTTGCATCTATTCAAAGCAGTCAGACCTCTCTTTTACATGCTGATTAATGCAAAAGGAGGAAAACTCAAACTCAAGGCCTCCCTAAAAATACTTAAATTTCACTCATGCATTTTAATGATTCATGCATTTTAATAATTAATTTGACATATTAATGTAAAAATCAAATAAGACACTTACTCTGACCTGCATTTGTGTTATTTGTTAAATTATATTTATTATTATTATTATTAATAATAATATTATTAATTAAATTAATTAATTTACTTATTGCTTACAATTAAATTATTTCTATTGGTTTAAAGGAGCATTCTAAAAAATGTTGGGTTGTTTTACCCATGTTGGGTTAACCCAACAGTTGTGTTCATTTGTCAAATTAAATTTAAATTACACTTTTGCCCGTTTACACAATTTTCTAATCAGTCAGTCATATGGCACCAGCTTAATGCATTTAGGCATGTAGACCTGGTCCAGATGATCTGCTGCAGTTCAAACCGAGCATCAGAATGGGGAAGAAAGATGATTTAAGTGACTTTTAACATGGCATGGTTGTTGGTGCCAGATTGGCTGGTCTGAGTATTTCAGAAACTGCTGATCTACTGGGATTTTCACGCACAACCATCTCTAGGGTTTACAGAGAATGGCCAGACTGGTTCTAGCTGATATAAAAGGCAACAGTAACTCAAATAACCACTCGTTACAACCGAGGTCTGCAGAAGAGCATCTCTGAACACACAACACGTCCAACCTTAAAGCGGATGGGCTACAGCAGCAGAAGAACACACCGGGTGCCACTCCTGTCAGCAAAGAACAGGAAACTGAGGCTACAATTCACTCAGGCTCATCAAAGACAGACAATAGAAGATTGGATCTGCTGCGACGGCATTCGGATGGTAGGATCAGAATCTGGCGTCAACAGTTGAATCAACAATGTTCAAATATCAATGGTTCAGGCTGGTGGTGGTGTAATGGTGTGGGGGATATTTCTTGGCACACTTTGGGCCCATTAGTACCAACTGATCATCGTGTCAATGCCACAGCCTGAGTATTGTTGCTGACCATGTCCATCATTTTATGACCACAGTGGACTCATCTTCTGATGGCTACTTCCAGCAGGATAATGCAGCATGTCATAAAGTGCTAAACATCTCAGACTGGTGTTACATGACAATGAGTTCACTGTATTCAAATGGCCCCCACAGTCACCAGATCTCAATCCAATACAGCACCTTTGGGATGTGGTGGAATGGGATATTCCCATCATGGATGAGCAGCCGACAATTCTGCAGCAACTGCGTGATGCTGTCATGTCAATATAGACCAAAATCTCTGAGGAATATTTCCAGTACCTCTAAGCCATGAAGGATTAAGGCAGTTCTGAAGACAAAAGGGGCTCCAAACCAGTACTGGTAAGATGTACCTAATAAAGTGGCCAGTGAGTGTATATGCAAATCATAAACAGTTCATCTTTAGGCTTCATCAAAAAAATAAATAAAATAAATAAATAAATGCATGTGCATCATTTTAAAATATTGCAAAAACAGAAAGAAGTTGTTTATATGTTTTCCAAATATGTACATATGTGTTCAGATAAGGTATGTTAGCCATCATAGTACACTTATCAGATCATGGTTATAGGGATACAATGACAGTAAGTATTATTTTCTGAAACGCAGATTCTCTGAAATCCACCTGCATCTGAGTATTTTGACGTTGCCAGTCTATCCATTAAAGTAGGAACGGCCGGGCACAAAATGTAATTTAATTACATCCATTACCATTAAAAATGTAAACACATTTTAGAACAAATATCTGCTCTTGAATAATGTATATAACAAGCTGTTCTGCAGTATTTAAACTGCAGTCATTAGCCTATTTAAAAGGGTTCAAACCTGCGGTCGATGCAGAGTCACACCTGTCTGGTCAATCTGCAGGAGTGTGACGCCATCTGCTGGTGATTATATGTGTGTGAAACAAGCTAATAAAATATGGTTGCAAAATATTAAAATAATTATAGTACTAAAATAATGACTACCGATAATACATAGTTATAATATTGACCTATAGAAAATATAATATAATAAATCAAAATATAATATAATATAATATAATATAATATAATATAATATAATATAATATAATATAATATAATATAATATAATATAGGCAGTTCATTCCGCTCTGGCGATCCCAAATTAATGAATTGACAAAGCCAAAAAGAAAATTATGAAATATAATATAATGGAATATAATATAATATCATATCATATCATAATATAATATAATAAATCTAAATAATCTAAATAACTAAATGCTTTGATTTTTTTATATAATAATAATATAAATTTTTCCATTAGGGTTTTTCAACTCACTATAACATTAATAAATAACAACAATATATAGGCCTAATTATAGTATATTCATACATTTCCATCGGCTTAGTAAATTTAATATTCTGGGGATGCCTCACCAGAATAAACCACCAATTTATCCAGCATATGTTTTACACAAGCGGATGGCCTTTCCTTCCAGCCGCAACTCGATACTGGGAAACACACACACATACACACTCTCTCTCTCTCTCTCTCTCTCTCTCTCTCTCTCTCTCTCTCTCTCTCTCTCTCTCTCTCTCTCTCTCTCTCTCTCTCTCTCTCTCTCTCTCTACAGTCAATTTAGCTTACCCAATTCCCCTATAGCACGTCTTTGGACTGTGGGGGAAACTGGAGCACCCGGAGGAAACCCACGCCAAAAAGGGGAGAGCATGCAAACTCCACACAGAAATGCAAACTGGCCCAGCCGAGGTTCGATCTTCTTGCTAAACCGTGGCGCTCTATAATAATAAACTTTAACATTTATAAGTCTTTTTTATGCTTCATAAACGTATTTTCTAGCAAATGACGCCCCTCTGTGGTGGGATAACTGCGTCGCTGTTACAGTCGTGCTCCTTTCGTCACTTCCTGGTTTCCAAGCGGAAGCAGCGGAGTTTATTTGGTTACTATGATGCTTCTTCTTATCAAAGATGGCGAAAAAGGGAGATAAATAATTTCAGAAAACCTCGTTTTGTGTCGTGTGTGTTTTCAGGTTTTCCAGGAGTGTGTATAGTATGGCGAGTGTTGAGGACGACGAGAACTGCGCGCTTGTAAGTCAACAAATGCGCTCATATTAATATGAATAACGTTAATAGCGCAGATGGCAAATGTGGTCTGTAGAAGTACTGGACGATAAAGAGAAAACATAAAAATATAAATTAAATGGCACTTTAAACCATTTTCTCTAAGAGACATTTACAGACATTTCGACTGGAAAAATAGTAATTTAGCCAGTTAATCCTGATATGTAAAATAATAGCCAAAAGAGATAAAATTGGTTTTATATTCGCACATTCAGTCTTTCTCATTAATAATATATAACGTTACTCAGAAAAGTATTAATTGGAAGTTCTAAATAGTAAAATCATATTATCAGTCAACAACCATCAAAGTTCAGCATTGTTCACAGTCAAATAAATTGTGCTAATGTTGTTTTAAAGTCTCACTTGCATGTGATTTCAGACCCTATATTCATAGTACCATGGTAAACAATGTATGGAGCTATCACTGAACGAATGTGTGAATATAAAACCAACTTTACCTCAATAAAACCAAATAGGTCTCCTTTTTATACATATATTATGGCATGAAGTTAGATTTATTGGAAAATACGTGTTTATGTTTTGTATCATATTTGTATTGTCAACTCATATATGTTTTTGCGACATGTTATTAAGCTTTAACGGCTCATGTTATAAAATAGTGAAAAATGATGGAGGTAAAGTTAATTTTATATTTGCACATTTGTTGCACATCACATTTTAGAACAATGGCAACTTGTGACACAGTCCCTGTATTTTTTACCATACTATTTTGAATATATTGTGTCTGAAATCGCATGTAATATGACTTAAAAAACAACATTAGCACTATTTAATTGACTGTGAACAATGTCAGACTTCGATAGTCACTGTCTTCTAATATTTGATGTCACTTTTTAGTATTGACAAAGAATACTTTTCTGAAATTAAATTATTACAGAGAAAGCCTGAGTGCAAATATCAAACCAACTTTACCCCAATAAAAAATATTCAGTTTGTAGCAGATCATTATACTTTAATGAAGTTACCCTCCTAAAACAGATCAAATTCTGATAGCTTGTAATGTAAGTCAACATACATAAATGGCATATCACTAATTCATTATCATTCTATATATCTAGATCATTTAAATGCTTAGTTTTATGATAGAATCTGTGTAGTTTTAATTGAGGGACAAACATATAATGCAAAACAATGCAATGTAAAGATGATCCAGAGAATGGTTTATTTGGATGAATGGATACCTAATTTTTATAGGTTTTTTTTACATTTAAATTTTTGTTTGCAAATAATCTCTTCAATGCGCAATATAAAGCATGATTTATATAAAAATAAACATGTATTTTTACAAATAAACAAACAGTAATTTATAGAAACGAATAAACATTTATTTAAAAAAAATAAGGGTGTCCTTGATGAAAAGAACCTAATAATTTTTAATGGTACTATTAAAAGGTATTGAATCAGTTTCCACAGGAATATAATGTAAATATTCACCTCTGATAATGTTAAGCAGCATATTATAATAATGATTTCTGATTGAACATGTGACACTGAAGATTGGAATTATTATTTAAAAAATTCTGCTTTAAATCAAGGGAATATTTTTAATTTTAAAATACATTTAATAAGAATACAGTTCTTTAAAAATTGTAATAATACAATTTACAATTGATACAATTTTACTGTATTTTTGATCAAATAAATCCAGCCTTGGCAGCAAAATTGTCTACTTTTAAAACATTAAAATACCTTAATCAACCTTAAATTAGTGCTAGCCAAAGATGAATTGCGATTTATCGCATCCAAAATAAAAGTTTGTGTATTTGTGTGTTAGTATATGTTTTATATATCTTTATTGGGTATTTGTAGGCCCACATGGAATCAGCACGCGCAGGATTCCGCAGATTTTCCACAGAATTCCGCAGATTTCTAGCCCATAATTAATTCTGTTTATTTACTTGAGTAAATCTAAGTTCATTCAGTTTTTTACTAATTACAGTAATATTATTGACTAATATGAAAATGTTCATCTGATTTATGTACAATGCAGTTTGTAAAGTAATATTTTCAGTAGATATATTATATTAGAGACTTGCTTTGTTTACCAAATAAAGTGAATCTAATTGGATTTGCATTTTAAACATTAAATAAAAGTTAAAAAGATATTATATTTTATTTCACATATTAATGTTTTAGGTCTGATACTCCCAAAATAATTCAGCAGAAATCTGCAGATTTTTACCAAAATTCTCAGCAGAAATAGCAAAACATGTCCGCAGATTCCGTCTGGCCCTAGGTATATGTAATACAAACACACATAAAATCAAAACTATACAAAACATTCATTCATTTTCGTTCGGCTTTGTTCCTTTATTCATCAGGGGTCACCACAGCGGAATTAACCGCTAACTTATTCAGCATATGTTTTACACAGCGGATGCCCTTCTAGCTGCAACCCAGTACTGGGAAACATCCATACACACTGTTTCACACACATAAACTACGGACAATTTAGTTTATTCAATTTACCTACAGCGCATGTGTTTGGACTGTTGGGGAAACCGGAGCACCCAGAGAAAACCCACGCCAACACAGGGAGAACATGCAAACTCTACACAGAAATGCCAACTGACCCAGCCAGGACTTTTTTTACATAGATTTTTCAATTTCTATATAATTTGTATCAACTACATGTATTTTTTTTATATCTCAAGTACATAAACATTTTCTTAAACATATGCATGCATGTTTGTATTATATAAACATTTTACAGTACACGCACATATGTTATGTCAAAACAAACTTTTATTTTATATGTGATTATTTGCGATTATTTTTGTCTCTAGCACTACATTAAACCTTTCATCATTAATTCATCTTTGTAGTAAATTAAGCTGAGGTTTTCAGTTCACCCTGTTGAATTGTTTCAGGCACTGATCTTATACTACTGCCAGGAAAAGTACTCCAGTCATGTCGTAGATGTTTCCAGTGAAGCTCAACGGAAATTCAGTCCGGATCCAATCTTTACATTCCTCCATGCTTATGGGTTGCTCATGCAAGGTAAGCGAAACCCACCCTTTTCTTTCTTTGTCTTCATTTGACATTTTGAGAAAAGGTCTACGTTCCTCACATCTGTTATTTTATTGTTGTAGATCAAGTGCTGGACGCCATTCAGGAGCTGGAGATGCTGAAGGAGAGAAGAGACGTTTCACTTTGTGCGCTCATGGCTCTGGTTTATGCCCACAAGAAACGCCCAAACCCTGGTAGATCTCTTACATCTGTTTATGAAAAATAATACCACATTATGATGCCTTTTCTTAGGAGTTGTCTTGTAGTATGTAGGTTATAATGTGAGTACTAATGAATAATAAACCAAACTCATTGGCAGATCGTGAAATCATACAGGATCTGGATGGACGGGTGAAGGAGGAGAGGAAAACGGCGAGTCCTAAAGCACTGTATTACGCGGGCATGCTGCTGTGGCTTCTGGGCCGCAATGACAAAGCAAGAGAGTATGTGGACAGAATGATCAAGATCTCCAGTGGCTCAAAAGAGGTCAGCTTTTCTAACGCATCCTCGTTTTAGACTTATCTAGAGGGAGACATGACTGGTCAACATGCCAGAATATTGATGGTCTATGGCACATGTTAACTAGTGATGGTAAGTTCGGATCATTTTACTGACTCGGATCTTTGAGTCTCGTTTATAGAGATGAACGAGTCTTTTTTTGAGTCATTTCGTTCATTTGGTTCCATTTGCAAAAATATTATTAAAATGTTACGAATTGCTTCATAAACACATCTACAACTAGCCCAAAAGAATGATCACACGACAAATAAGTCATAAATAAAATACTATAAGAAGAAGAAAATAATTCAATGTTTACCTGCTCTTTTGTCTATAAAGGTATTTTTGTCTCTTTGCTCAGCTCACCTTTTCATGTCTTCAAATGTCACTGATTCGTTTACGTTACACTGACAGTCACATATAATCTTAACCAATGTGCACAGTCTGAGCCGATAGGAGCCATGATAATTAGTTCATCTTTCAATTCAATTCTTTTTTCGGCTCTACATATGATTGGCCCATGAGGAACAAATGACTCAGACCCGATAGAGGACTCGAGAGATGAACGGATGCATTCTTTTTCCGGGTCTAAACGCATATGATTGGCCCGTGATGAACGAATGACTCAGATCCGATAGAGGACTCGAGAGATGAACGGATCCATTCTTTTTCCGGCTCTAAACGCATATGATTGGCCCGTGATGAACGAATGACTCAGATCCGATAGAGGACTCGAGAGATGAACGGATGCATTCTTTTTCCGGCTCTAAACGCATATGATTGGCCCATGATGAACGAATGACTCAGATCCGATAGAGGACTCGAGAGATGAACGGATGCATTCTTTTTCCGGGTCTAAACGCATATGATTGGCCCGTGATGAACGAATGACTCAGATCCGATAGAGGACTCGAGAGATGAACGGATCCATTCTTTTTCCGGCTCTAAACGCATATGATTGGCCCGTGATGAACGAATGACTCCGATCCGATAGAGGACTCGAGAGATGAACGGTTCAATTCTTTTTTTGGCTCTAAACGCATATGATTGGCCCGTGATGAACGAATGACTCAGATCCGATAGAGGACTCGAGAGATGAACGGATCCATTCTTTTTCCGGCTCTAAACGCATATGATTGGCCCATGATGAACGAATGACTCAGATCCGATAGAGGACTCGAGAGATGAACGGATGCATTCTTTTTCCGGCTCTAAACGCATATGATTGGCCCGTGATGAACGAATGACTCAGATCCGATAGAGGACTCGAGAGATGAACGGTTCAATTCTTTTTTTGGCTCTAAACGCATATGATTGGCCCGTGATGAACAAATGACTCAGATCCGATAGAGGACTCGAGAGATGAACGGATGCATTCTTTTTCCGGGTCTAAACGCATATGATTGGCCCGTGATGAACGAATGACTCAGATCCGATAGAGGACTCGAGAGATGAACGGATGCATTCTTTTTCCGGCTCTAAACGCATATGATTGGCCCGTGATGAACGAATGACTCAGATCCGATAGAGGACTCGAGAGATGAACGGTTCAATTCTTTTTTTGGCTCTAAACGCATATGATTGGCCCGTGATGAACGAATGACTCAGATCCGATAGAGGACTCGAGAGATGAACGGATCCATTCTTTTTCCGGCTCTAAACGCATATGATTGGCCCGTGATGAACGAATGACTCAGATCCGATAGAGGACTCGAGAGATGAACGGTTCAATTCTTTTTTTGGCTCTAAATGCATATGATTGGCCCGTGATGAACGAGTGACTCAGACCCGATAGAGGACTCGAGAGATGAACGGATCCATTCTTTTTCCGGCTCTAAACCCATATGATTGGCTTCTGCCTTTCCGCGATGAACGAATCAAAAGATTTGAAATGAACGATACCACCTGCACAAATGTGCACACTCCCTGAGAGGACTCGTAGTTCCTGAGTCATATTGAAGATTCGTTCAAAATGAACAAATCGTTCATTAACGACCCATCACTAATGTTAACTAGCTGGACAGAAATTTGAGATTCGTTTTAGGTGTGATTTCAGTTGTTCAGTCATAATGATACAAAATTATTACATTATGAGTTTTAAAATGAATTAAACAATATAATTTATAATGAAAGATGCCTGTAAAGGGATAGTTCACCCAAAAATTTAAATTCTGTCATTCTGACTCTCAAATTTTTGTGGCTTCAGTCATTGTTGGGGTAATCTTTTAAATCTGGAAGCTTTAACAACTTATATCAAAATGTATATTGCTATCATTTAATATAGAAAATAATTATCAAGATTTTATTTTTGCCATATACCTAGTCCTAGTTTCAACATTATTACAATAACACTCAGGATTCCCATTTGTTTTGCTGTTTATTTGACACTCACCATAGTTAACATTTACTCAAACATTGTTTTGTAGGGAATTGTGCTAAAAGGCTGGATTGACCTGCGATCTAATAAAGATGCTTATGCAAAGAAGTCCGGGAAATACTTTGACGAAGCCTTGAAGGAGAAAAGTGACATTTTTGCTCTGATGGGGAAGGTAATTTAGTTTTACAATTCACCAATGAAGATACAAAGATGTCCCAATTGATGTTCACTTAAAAGTGTTCATGTGTATGATTTATATTTTCAAACTCTTTGTGTGTCTAATTTTTATGCAAAAAATAAAAAATAAATACAAAACAAAACAAAATAAATGAATAAACACTGCTTTTTTAAATTTTAATTTATTTTACAATAAAAAAACAATAAAAAATCTAGTACAAAACATTTTATCTTTATTTATTTCCTAATGCTATACAGATGAATCCAATACATTGTTTATTAATTTATTAATTGCAATCAAAAAATATTTAGACCTAACAAATAAGATTAATGTATTCTGATTGCATAAAAAATCCCATCCATTTGCATTAAATTTGTTTAACACAATAGAACTACTATACTTTATGTGATCGCCATTTGTTAGTTTGACATAAATAAACAAACAAGAACAAGATTTATGTAATAATATTAATGAATCCAATGTGTTTTAAATGCTATTTATTAATATGCGTTTTGTGTTGAGTATGGAGCTGCATCAATTTTGCTTTTGCATTCAAGTAAACTGATCTCAAAGAATTGAACTAATCTGGATCTGGCTTTTTCTACAGCTAGATATATTTACTGTATACCATATTCATATCTTTTACCTAATCTAATACTATTCAATTCTAACAGATTTACATTGATTCTAAGGAATCTGACAACAACACTTAAAAACTGACAAATTAAATAAAATCAAAAGGTTACAAATAGTTAATGATAAACTTCATCGTGATTTATTTTATTGAGCGTGTGTCTTTTTACCAGGTTCATTATTATGAATATCGCCAGAATTATTCTGGTGCTTTAGACACCATTAACCAGGTGATTGTGAGTTACCCGTCCTTTCTACCGGCTCTGGTGAAGAAGATGAAGCTGCTGTTGACTCTGCAGGACTGGGAACAAACTGTGGATGCAGCTCAGAGGTAAAACTCCATTCACAACATTGCAGGTTTTAATGCTCCAATCAATCCTTGTGGCTTTTAAATACATACAGTTGAAGTCAAAGTTATTATTTTTTTCTTTTTCAAACAATTCCCAAATGATGTTAAACAGAACAAGGAATTTTTCACAGTATTTCCTATAATATTTTTTTCTTCTAGAGTAAGTCGTATTTGTTTCATTTCGGCTAGAATAAAAGCAATTTAAAATTTTTTAAAAACCATTTTAAGGTCAATATTATTAGCCCTTTAAGTTATATATTTTTTTCGATTGTCTACAGAACAAACCACTGTATTACAATGTTTTACCTAATTACCCTAACTTGCCTAATTAACCTAGTTAAGCCTTTAAATGTCACATTAAGCTGAATACTAGTATCTTGAAAAATATTTAATCAAACGTTATGTGCTGTCATTATGGCAAAGATAAAATAAATCAGTTATTAGAAATGAGTTATTAAAACTATTATGTTTAGAAATGTGTGAAAAAATATTCTTTAAACAGAAATTGGGGAAAAATATTGAGGAGGGCTAATAATTCTGACTTTAAATTTTAAATAGGCTAAAATACAAAAAGGTGAACCACATTCAAGTGCAAATGGAAGTTAGATGTGATTCCATGGATCTGTACAGAGAGCGAGTCATTGTTTCTCATTCTCTGTTGGATGAGGGCCAATGACAGACGAATGAAAAGGCCCTTTTAGATTGCACACTGAGAGCTGTATGAACTACGCAGCAGGACCTCAAAGGGTTCGTGTGAAAACCGGTTCTCTCAGGTAGAGCTGTGATTTTTATTTTAAAGCCACTTTAAAGTATGTGGTTGCTCTAAAATGGAAATCCCTGGGACAAATTTTAGGTTATTTAACATATACAGTTGGAGTCAGAATTATTAGCCCTGCTAAATTATTAGCCCTCTGTATATTTTTCCCCCTCATTTTTTGTTTAATGGAAAGAAGATTTTTTTCAACCCATTTCTAAACATAATAGTTTTAATAATTCATATCTAATAACTGATTTATTTTATCTTTGCCATGATGACAGTAAATAACATTTTATTAGATATTTTTCAAGACACCTCTATACAGCTTAAAGTGACATTTAAAGGCCTAAGTAGGTTAATTAGGCAAGTCATTGTATAACGATGGTCTGTTCTGTAGACAATCGGAAAAAAAATATATATATATTATATATATATATATAAGTTTTAAAATGGTTTAAATGAGTGACATTTTGTCACACAGTTTGAGCAAAATTACAACAAATCACCTTTCTAAATGTTTTAATGGATTAATATATGTTTGACCAAATTAACATAGGATAATTAATATTATATTATTTCCATCTATAGGCATTAATATGGCAATAACTATTTCTAAACGTAATAAAATAACTAAGATGAAATGTCCAGTTTGTGTGTCTGTATTAAATAAATTTGATAATTTACAGAAATCACATTAACTGCAAATAAAGTGTTTACTTTAATGTTTTAAATAAACTTAAAAAAGAGGGGTAAATAATGAAATTATATGTTATATGAAATAATATATATATATATATAATCTTTTAAATAATGAAATTATATGTTATATGAAATAATATATATATATATATAATCTTTTATTCTAGCCGAAATAAAACAAATAAGACTTTCTCCAGAAAAACAAAAAATATTATAGGAAATACTGTGAAAAAATCCTTGCTCTGTTAAATATCATTTGGTAAGTGATAAGCAAATAATTTTGACTTCAACTGCATTCAACGGAATAGTAATATTTAATGTACATTTTTTCATAAAATTCTTTATTTATTTCTCTTATTGTATAAGGAAGTTATTAATATGTTTTTTTTTTTTCATTTATAGTCAAGCTCGAATTTATTCATACCACTGGCAAATTCTGACGTAAAGTTATTTTTATTCAACTAACAATTTTTGATTTACATGAAATGACACAGGCTTCTCCTAAAAGGTCATAAGTTAATGTACAAAAAGCATCATTGTGGAAAAAAAAACAAAAACATTTGTTTAAGTAAAATATTTTTTTAAGTAACAAAGTCAGAATTTGCCAGGAGTCTGAATAATTTTGTGCTTGACTACATTAATTTCACAGTGAAATAGCCATAAGTTGCTAATGTGGTAATACATAATCAAAGAAACAAGCAAAAGTTTTAAAATGGTTTAAATGAGTGACATTTTGTCACACAGTTTGAGCAAAATTACAACAAATCACCTTTCTAAATGTTTTAATGGATTAATATATGTTTGACCAAATTAACATAGGATAATTAATATTATATTATTTCCATCTATAGGCATTAATATGGCAATAACTATTTCTAAACGTAATAAAATAACTAAGATGAAATGTCCAGTTTGTGTGTCTGTATTAAATAAATTTGATAATTTACAGAAATCACATTAACTGCAAATAAAGTGTTTACTTTAATGTTTTAAATAAACTTAAAAAAGAGGGGTAAATAATGAAATTATATGTTATATGAAATAATAAATGTCATTATTTCATTATTTCATTATTATTGTTTTCATAAAAGTATATATGTATACACACACAGACACACACACACAAATTAATACAAATTTGAAGAATAATAGACGATAAACAAAATTAATGGTTTGAAGGACATTAGCAAAATACTAAAAATAACAATTAATTAATATTTTGTCTTTTAATATGTAATTAAATAATTATTGTTCTAAATATGACTAAGATTTTTTTTCTTGTTTATAATCTAAACTAAACTGCATTCAACCGATTCTGAAAGTCATGGTAAAATGTATGGTCGTCAGATGACAGGAACATCGGTCTGAATAGGGCAGATGTTGTGTGTCAGTTACTCGAAAGTTCCCCGCAAACAGACAAGAAAGATGTTTAATAACGTGGTGTTTATCACAGAATAAAGTCATGCTGATTGTGGATATTCAATATTTATTATACAATTACAATTGCAAGTTGCATGAATGCAAGTCTCACAACATCTGTTCTACACACAAACAGTCTTTAGTCTTAATTTCCTGGTCCTTTCATCATGTCAAAACTTCAGGCTTCTCCAGCGGGAGAAAAATAACCTGGAGGCTCTGAGGATGCAGGCCCTGCACGCTCTCTGCCGGGATGGAGACATCGCTGAGGTATGACATTACAAACATACATCCTCATTTATTACTAATTGTTATAAACGACTATTCACTAATTTGTTATGAATGGTGTATTTAATTGTTTCTTACGTCATTTGATATATCAGAAAGACTTACTATGGTTCACAAATATTTATTTCTTGGATTGTTTAAACGATGTTACCAGAGCATTGCATTATATTTTGTTCCTGTGTGTTTATTATAGTACAACTTTTGCATAAGTCTTACACTGCTCAGAAGAGATACTAAGGTATATAATGACTACACTGTAAAAAATGTAAGACAACATATATTTTGGTCACACTTTACAATAAGGTTCATTAATTAATGTTAATTAATGCTTTAATTAACATGAACAAACAATGAACAATACATTTACTACTGTATTTGTTCATGTTAGTTAACGTTAGTTAATGAAAATACAGTTGTTTATTGTTAGTTCATGTTAACTCATGGTGCATTAATTAATGTTACCAAGCATGGACTTGGATGTTAATAATGCATTAGTAAATGTTCAATTATGATTAATAAATGCTGTACATGTGTTGTTTATGATTAGTTCATGTTAGTAAATGCATATTTTTATGTTGTGTTATTGTATTTTAGAAAGTTAATCAGGTTTCATCTATTATGTTTAAAGTTACAGAAAGTTTAACTTAATATTTTTAGTCAGCTTGTTTGATGTAGGTTGAGTTGACTTGAAAAGGTAATTTGATTCAGCTAAAAATCTTAGCAAAATGTTTTATTTTACAATGTAGTCATAAAATAAACAGCCATATTTGACTGACTAAATTAATAAATAAGAATTTATAATACAGAATTAATGAAGGCGGCACAGTGGCTCAGTGGTTAGCACTGTGGCCTCACAGAAAGAAGATCGCTGGTTAAAGTCCTGGCTGGGTCAGTTGATATTTCTTTGAGGAGTTTGCATGTTCTCCCCGTGTTGGAGTGGGTTCCCTCCGGGTGCTCCGGTTTCCTCCACAAGTCCAAAGACATGTGGTATGGGTGAATTTGGTAAGCTAAATTGGCCATAGTGTATGTGTGTGAATGAGTTTGTATTGATGTTTTCCAGTGATGGTTTGCAGCTGGAAGGGCATCTGCTGTGTAAAACATATGCTGGATAAGTTGGTTCATTCCGCTGTGGCGACCCCCTAATAAAGGGACTAAGCCGAAAAGAAAATAAATCAATGAAATTGCTGTAGTTTATGAGTGTGGGTGTGAATGAGTGTGTATGGATGTTTCCCAGTACTGGTTGCGGATGGAAGGGCATCCGCTGGGTAAAACATATGCTGGAATAGTTGGCGGTTCATTCTGCTGTGGTGACCTCTGAAATAGAGACTAAACCGAAAGAAAATGAATGAATTAATGGATTTATAAATATAATAATATAATTAATAAAAGTAATGAATAAAAAACAGATAAATAGTCTCGAAATTGATTTAGTATAAGGTGGACACAAATGTGTGACGGCTCAAAAATGTAGATTCAACATTTTATTTGTTAATGTAAAAAAAAGTCAGTATTTTTTTGGTTTATAAGTCATGTTTTTTGTTAATCATATGTTCTTTAGATGCTGGCTTTTAGAGGTCTGGGCTAATTAAGATTTTTTGAATGAGCACTTTTTCAAAGGGATAGTTCAAACTAAAATTCTATCATTATTTACTTACCGTTATGTTTTCTGAAAAAAGATTATATGAATACATTTTAAAATATATTCAGTATATATATATATATATATATATATATATATATATATATATATATATATATATATATATATATAACTTGCTGCGTTAATGTGAGACTCCTATCGGGCGTTAAAAAAAAAATCATTGTTAATCTATTCTTAAAGTTGGGTTGGGAGCTGCGTCTATTCTACACAAGCTATAATGACTTTCACCTTGATATTTTAGCATGGATGTATACCTGACCGAATTGCATTGTAGGGGGCGAGAACGAATCTTCGAAACTGTGCGTATTCCCACTGTGAAATTACCACTTTAAATTGGACGTGCTAACATGGATGCAGTTTCTAGAGTAAATCTGATTAATGTTAGCTCCACATCTAACTATCAGGCCCCTGTAGAGTTTATGCGTTCGAGTAAAACATATACAAATAAAATAGACCGGGTGCTTTTTAAAATGAATGACGGTGAATGAAAGTCAAACCGGTGAGCCCTCTGACAAAAGAGAATGCTTCTGAATAAAATCGGCAGGATGCCCTTCTAGATCTTTCAGTTACTTAAAAGACACTACTGACTATGCTTACATGAACATTTGTAGTATAGTTATTTGCCTTAAAGTTGTTATGTTCACCAAAGCTGCATTTAGTTAAGTGCAAATAAAAGAATTAGTAGCATTATCATTACCAATATTAAATAATATAATATAACAATAAAAATAACAGTTGAATAAATATATACTTTTGTTATTTTATTTAATGCTTAATGATTTATTTCTCTGGTTACAGTCTGTAAATCAGCTATCAAATCTGATAAGCAATCTGGACATTCAAGAACCGAGCAATCCGGAGCTCTTCTACAGGATGTCTTTGGCGTTCACTCGAGTGGTAATACTCAAACAGATTCAGTCACCATTTAACATTTATGCTAACATGAATCTTGTAAACATATTTGTCACAACCTTTAACACACGAAATGATTCACAATGCATTGACCTTCTGTATTTCGGCTTGCACACAACAGCATTAATAATGCATTTCTTTGAAGCTGCCATAGCACAGAAGTAGTGATGCTGCATTTAGATGTGTTTGTGGGGTCTCTCTGCAGTGTGGAAGAGCTGAGAAGATTCTCCAGCACACTCACCGGATGGTGGAGCGGGCATTTGCACAGGCTTCCAGTGACTCTGAACTAGCCACAGAGATGGGCTACCAGCTGATCCTCATGGGCAGAGTCAAAGAGGCCATGAAGTGGTACAAAACAGCAATGACTCTTGATGAAAGCAGCGTCTCCGCTTTGATAGGTAAGAGACGTTTTTAAAGCCATAAGGAAGAGAGTGCTTAAGTCGAAATTTATGATTATTTTTTTTTCTTATTTCAGATGAAAATTTTTATTTTAGTTTTTAATTTTAACTTAACCCTAACTTACCTAGTTAAGCATTTAAATATCACTTTAAGCTGTATAAAAGTGTCTTATACATAATATAAATATTATGTGCTGTCATCATGGCAAAGATAAAAGAAATCAGTTATTAGAAATATAATGTTTTGAAATTAGTTTAAAAATCTTCTTTGCGTTATACAGAAATTGTGTGAAAATATACAGGAGGGGCTAATTATTCAGGAGGGCTAATAATTCTGATTTCAACTGTATATTGAAGATTGAGCAGTTGGAATGTTGCTGTCGTTCATCATTGATTTGTTTTAGCATTTTATAAAAGCAATGTAATGATAAATACTGCAATACCTAATGTGTGGTCTTTTATTTTAAACACCCTATAAATACATTGTTTAAGCCATTTGGAAAGCATATATTTAATACATGAAACTCACTGGCAGACAGCTGCTTTCCAGCACTCACATTTCTGCAGTTTAAATGCACTTTAATTTCAAAATGTCTTTATGATGTGAAATTAGTTTAAGCATCGTCAGTCTTGTCTTGAAGGGCTAAACTGACTAGAAGCAACATCATCACTAGGTCTATTTGATGATGTCAGTAATTACTAAACAGCAGTAATTCTAAAAAAAAAAAAAAAGAAAAAAAAAGAAAATTCTGGAAACAGAAATAAATGCTTTGAGCACTCTATACACAAGAAATATTTATTTTTATTGCTTTTACTGACTTTGAATTTGAAGATATCATTAGTTAAATGAAAAACAAATAAAGAAATATTGTAAAATTATTTAAAGGTTTATTTATTCATTTTCTTTTCGGCATAGTCCCTTTATTATTCTGAGGTTGCCACAGCGGTATGAAGCGCCAACTTATCCAGCATATGTTTTATGCAGTGGATGCCCTTCCAGCTGCAACCCATCACTGGGAAACATCCATACACTCTCATTCACTCACATACATTATGGCCAATTTAGCTTACCCAATTCACCTATAGTGCATGTCTTTGGACTTGTGGGGGAAACCGGAGCACCCGGAGGAAACCCACGCAAACACAGAGAGAACATGCAAACTCCACAAAGAAATACCAACTGACCCAGATAGGACTTGAACCAGCGACCTTCTTGCTGTGAGACAATCGTGCTACCCATTGCCCTAATTAAAAGTTGATATAAAATAATTTTCATCAATTCAAAGAAAATTGAAATAAAATAAAATGAAATAGAATTAGTGGATAAAAAAATATATACACATTATATATATATATAGCACAAAACAAATAATTTAATTAAGTAGATTTTACAAAAACAAAACAAATTAACATTCATTCATTATGAAACTCATTCTTTGAATTCATTCAAACTCCACACAGAAATGCCAACTGGCCCAGCCAGTACTCGAACCAGCCACCTTTTTGCTGTGAGGCGACAGTTCTAACCACTGAGCCACCGTAGTGCCCCCAATAAATTTGCATAGTTAATATTAATAGTATATAGATAATTGTAGTGCAGTACTTAATAGTAATATAATAATTACTAATAGAACATAGACAGTAATATAGACAATAATAGTATATAAATGCTGAAATTACACTGTTTAGGATGCCTGACTAAAATTAGCATGATTATTAAACCACATTTTGATTTTTTTATTTGTGTATTGTTGTGTTTGTACAGGTATCATCAGGTGTCAGCTAATAGAAGGACACATAGAAGATGCAGAACAGCAACTGGAGTTTCTCACAGAGATCCAGCAGTCCATTGGCAAATCAGGGGTGAGAAAAAATTTATGTGCCCTACTATCTTCATTCATTCATGTTCTTTTTGGCTTAGTCTCTTTATTAATCTGGGGTCGCCACACCGGAATGAACCGCCAACTTATCCAGCGCTGGGAAACATCCATACACACTCATTCACACACATACACTACGGACAATTTAGCTTACTCAATTCACCTATACGGCATGTTTGGATTGTGAGGAAAACCGGAGCACCCAGAAGGAACCCACGCCAACACGGGGAGAACATGCAAACTCCACATTCAATCGAGCGACCTTCTTGCTATGAGGCGAATGTGCTACTCACTGCGTCACCGTGCAGCCCGACCTACTATCTTACTTAAAAAAAATCTAGATGATTTCTTATAGGAAGATTCACAGACTTTTCCCAATAATAAAGTATTTTATGTCGAATAAAGTCTGCCATTTGATTCAGATTCTGCAGAGACTTGGTTCATTAATCCACTTATGCTGTGTTTACCTCTTGAGTCATCCACCAGTGCATCATAGGGCCTGTTTACTAAAACCGAGGCCCATGTCAGGCGGTTTTAGTGCACACTTACACAAACAAGCACATCTGCTTAGCAAAAAGCAGCTGCCACGTTGTAGGAACAACATTAAGCTAACATCTAAAAACTCTAAAAACTCAACTAAAAACGACTAAAAACTCAACTATTTAGTCTCCACTTTCCTTCCTAATCTGCAATTGCCTCTCTGGATATACCACTAACTGTACTCAAAAAAAAAAAAAAAAAAAAAAAAAAAATTTTTTTTTTTTTACTAATGCTCTCCTTAGACTTTACAGACCTGAAACTTGCCTATAGCACTTATTCATTGTTGTTCTTATAGTTGTGTAAATTGCTTCCTTGTCCTCATTTGTAAGTCGCTTTGGATAAAAGCGTCTGCTAAATGACTAAATGTAAATGTATATGTAATCTTACAAAACAATGTAAACTGAATTCAGTAAAAGTTTTATTTTATATAATACACTCAAAAAATAACGTTTTGCTGTTTGTTTAAACTACATATTTGAAATTAATAATATTTAAGAACCTCTGTTTTTCATTATAAAAGGTCATATTCTGGTTTGCATAGTTTGATATGCATGCGAGGTCAAAAAACACTTTCATTGTCTTATAATATGCATTTATTTTTACCTAATTATTCAGCGACTCATTTGTTCTCAAACCCTTCCTTAGCTAAGGCTAATCTGCTGTGATTGGTCCGATGACCCAGTCTGTTGTGAGTGGTTGACTGCATTCAGCACGAGACAGAGAGAAACGCCTAGCATGGTTACAACCCAAGCTCATTCTGAAAACGTAGTCCCGCGGACGTTTCTGGAGACAGCAAATTACATCCTGGGGGGTACGTACGGCCGCGCTTATTTTTTTTCAAGCGAACGCTGCGGGGCGGTGTGACGCCGTTCCCTTTCGCGCTTGCCTTACCTCCTTGTGGAGGGCTTCCCCGCTGCAACCCTTTTGTCCACTCAGCTCAGCGTGTACGTCGGCAGGCTCAAGATGCGGAGAGGGGTCGACCACGGCGACCGGTTTCGAGTCCGGGGAAGAGCAGTTCCAGCAATCAGGTAAGACAAAAACAGAATCCCAAAAATTAAGTGAACGAGTTTCGTGACAGGGTGAGAACGCGACGAAATCCGAAAACGCGGTGGAATAAAAAAAATCAGGGCTTTTATTTTTTTGGACGGCTTTTGTGAACTGTTACTCGGGTTTAGGGAAGCGAGCGGGCGGGCGGGTGGGCAGGTCGATCGGTAAAATTGGTTGGGTTCAGGGAAGGAGGAGGGCGAGTCGGCCGATTGGCCGGTCGCGCAGTCAATCATCCGGTCAGTGGCCTCCGGCGGGATCACGCGAGAACAGAGCGGGCGCGAACCGCACTCGCGAGAGGCGTCTGAGGTGCGAAAAAAGCGCGCAACAGCAGCCTCTCGCGGATACGCGAAAACAAAAACTGCAGCCGTACGTACCCGCCGGGACGTATTCCGCAGTCTCCAGAAACGTCCGCGGGACTACGTTTCCACAATGAGCCTGGGTTGCGTGGTTATGAAGAGCACAGAGTATGTGAGAGCCCAATGCATGAATGCATTAAAGCAATGCAATTAAACACCAGCATATTCCACTATTCTTAATCACAACCCCTAATAATAACAATGACACAAATTCAGCATTAATCCACACATTGGCAAAAGTTGAGCTCTTCTAAAAATTGACCACCAACAGCTGAACAGATGATGTTGACCATAGCAACAAAGAGCAACAGATCACGAGCACAAAACGCATTTAAATCGGTAAAGAAGAAGCACGCGTCACATGTGAAATAGCCCATACAGATTTGACCTGAGAGATGCATTGCAAGCATTGATCTATAATAGATGTGTGATTACAAGCCGTGTGAATCGATTATAAGTTACAACACACAATTAAACACATATTTTGCAAACTACAGAAAATGAGGCAATGATTTTAATTACACTTCAAGTTGTGTAGGAAGGAGAAACGCTCACAGGATCTGGAGGAAGAAGAAACTGGTCCATATAAACTGTGTAAAAGTTACTGACAAAGACCCGTACATCAGTAGTCTTTGCTGATCCTTTTTTTTTTAACAAACAGCAGGCAAGTCCTGTGTTGCGGCGTAGGTTATTGTATCAATCATCAGAAAAAATGACAAGAACAAACACACCACACGGTTGGCTATATTGAGGTGTTGTTGTGAAAATAAACCCTTTATTCCCCAGATCAGAAGTTCATATTTGGCGCTGTATCGATGTCAACGCATGCAGGCAAAAGATCAGAACAAAGGACGAATTATCCATATGACTTTGAGTCGACTAAATATAATCAATAATTTTAAACATGGTGCATTTTTTAGGTTTAAATCTCAGCTGGATGTTTCCATTCACTTAATATTATATTAACTATATTAATTCTGCAAGGCTTAGTGCTCAAATCATATTTTTTCACAGATCTGATTTTTTTGCATTGCTGTTCACACTGCTTTGTGTGGCCAATATCAGATTAGCAGTGTGAACAGATCATGGTCCTGACTGACCAGCATGCACAAAAGTACATTACGGTGAGCACAAAATGTCTAATTATGCACACAATGTATATACTGCATGAAGTAAGCAGCATGTTGTCAGGTCAAGGGCTGAGCAGCCGCAGACTGAACTGTGAAGGCGGAGTTGGTTTAAATTTGTTTGCAGTTATTTAAATTTACTTCGTTACAAACAGCAGACATGTGCAGAAGGGGGGTTTGGGTGCTCGAGCAGCTGCCTTTTTTTCTCTTGGACAGAAAGTTCCCTCTCCTTTGCACACGGATCTCCTATTCGCAACACCCACGACGCTCTTCGGCTTCGCAATCAACCCGTGCCTCAATCGTTAACCAGATTAGTTAACAACCTCCAGTTTTGCCTTAAAAATCTTTTTTTCAACATGAACAACCAACTTTCTGTGGTAATCGCCCTGTGTGCCATTCTACTGCTGCTGGGGAGATGTTTGCAGCACAGAATGATGACGCATGTAGCTCGAAGATTATGTAAAAGTCACGTGAAATCCGACATAACCTTTCACACTGCATTCACTTAGCAAAACATCAGATCTGTGTCTGAATTAAGACTACATATGAAAGTGGCATAAATCTGAACTGAAAAGATCAGATTCCATGCGGTTTGGGCTGTTCACACTGTCATTACCTAAGTCACATAAGGGGGAAAAAATCAGATTTTGGCCACATTTGCCTGCAGTGTGAATGTAGCCTTAGAGCTTTTACACACTGCATGAATGGTAATTTTCAAAAACCCATAATAGGGGCTCTTTAAGTTTTTATTTTATTTTGGACTACCTAATTGTTTTATGTTCAATCCACTTAACCCCTTCAGACCTAAATTATGTTCCAAATTTTAAAAAAATGGGTTGTCATGTGATGTCTATTGTAATGGACGCAGGGTCTGAAGGGGTTAAAGTTGGAAAAACGATTATGTTAACTAAATCAATTTGTTGCGACAACATGAAGGAATTTTGTGGAACCCAGCATTTTTTACAGTGTAAATTGGACTGTTCAGAATGGCAAGATTACATTATAAGAATCACTTAGTGCATCTTTTAGGATTGTGTAACTTGTGTGTTTTAGGAGCTGTTATATCTGCGGGCTCTGTTGGCTGTGAAAAAGCGCCGGCCCCCAGATGAGGTGACCAACCTGTTAAACGACACTGTGGACACGCACTTTTCTGCCCTGCAGGGTCTGCCTCTCAGTGTCGAGTACTTCGAGAAGCTCAACCCAGACTTCCTGCTCGAGATTGCCAAGGAATATCTCGCACTGTGTCCTGCCAAGGTCTTCTCTTCTGTGCCTAGAAAACAATTTAAAAACATTTGTAATTTACCAAACAGTTAGAACTCTCTAATAACTGCCTAGTAACCAATCAGCACACTCTTTTAACTGCCTAAGAACCAATTAGAACACTCTTAGTAACTGCCTAGTAACCAATCAGAACACTAGTTGATTCTTATAAATACAGTGAGCATTCTAGTAACTTCCCAACAACCAATCAGAACACTCCAGCAACTGTCTAGTGACCAATCAGAACACAAGTGGATTCCTATAAACACACTAAGCATTCTAGTCGCTTACTAACAACCAGTCAGAACACTAGAAAATTACTAGAAACACCTTGAGCATTCTAGTAATTGCCTAACAACCAATCAGAACACTCTAGTAACTGTCTAGTGACCAATCAGAACACAAGTGGATTCATATAAACACACTGAGCATTCTAGTCACTTACTAACGACCAATCAGAACACTCTAGCAACTGTTTAATAACCAATCAGAACATTAGAGAATTACTAGAAACACCTTGAGCATTCTAGTAATTTCCTAACAACCAATCAGAACACTCTAGTAACTAGTAGCCAATCAGAATTGAAGTAGATTCCAATAAACACTCTAAACATTAGTAACATCATTAGTAACTTTCAACAAATCGGAACCTTATCAGCCAATCAGTACATTGTAATAACCCCCTATCAACCAATCAGAACACTCTAGTAACTACTTAGGATGTTACTTTAATGCCCAAGGTGTTTTTAAATAATTAGTAGAGTGTTCTGATTGGTTGATGGGATGTAACATTAAAGCCCAAGGTGTTTCTAACAACCAATCAGAACATTCTAGTAACTGCATAGCAACAACCAATTAAGGCTTTACTTAATGACTATCAACCAATCAGAGCACTGAAGTAACTGCCTAAAAACAAATCAATACTCTAATAGCTACTGGCAAACACTTATAAACAAACATTTTTATAACTCAAAATCAACCAATCAAAACACTCTAGTAACTGTCTAACAACCAATCAAAACTCTTTTGTTACTGCCACCAACCTTCCAGAACAACTGACTTGCAAGGCAATAGCAAACACCCTGAAAACTGTAGTAATTCTCAAGCGACCAATCAGAACATGCCTTGCACAGAAATAGTAAGCCCATGTAACATGCTTGTAACCACCTAGGAACACCCTTGTTACATATAGGACACCCTAGCAATCACCTAGCATCAGTCTGCTTTGCATGCTTCATCTGGAAGGGGTGTTGATGTACTGTCCTCCTGTGGTTTATTGACTGGTGTTGTTCTCTGCAGTCTCCAGCTCTCAGTCAGCCTTCTTCACCTCAGCTGCAGCATGCCGCATCTGTGCTGGATACCGTGATGAAAGTAGTGCCTGGATTACTGCAGGCTGTCTTTCTGATGGCCAGAGTCCGATTTCAGTCAGGTAATATCACTTCAGACTTTGAAGTAATGGTGGAAAATGGAAAGGAAAATAACCCTTGGGGAAATTTATTTTGAGGTTCATTAGCCTGGAGACTATTTCCTATAACTAAGCTCCAATAATTACCTGGTGTGATAACCCCTATAATTTCTTTTTCTCTTTTAAATGATTACATTTTTTGACCTCAGAAATAATCGACTGATCTAAGTTTATCTTCTCTTTATGTGTTGTACAGGCGATATCGATGCGGCCCAGAGCAGCCTGCAGCACTGTTTGGATCAGAACCCAGCTCACGCTGATGCCCATCTCCTCATGGCTCAGATTCATCTCATTCAGGGCAACTACAAACTCTCCTCCCAGTCTCTGGAGCTCTGCCTCAGCCACAACTTTGAGGTGAAACTTAAACCTGACTGCACTCATTTTTTTTTATCGGAAGTGAAGCAGTCTGTCATGTTTACATTATTATGGTAATTGATTTCCACTTTAATTAAAATATATTTAAAGCAAGCACGATTAATATTCACATTTTGAAGAAAAAATGGGCATGTAACTTAATTGTTTTGTGTTCAATCTACTCAAATTTGTAAAAAAAAAAAAAAAAAAAAAAAACGATTAAAGAGGTGGTCCAATACGATATCTTATTTTAAACTTTAGTTGATGTATATTGCAGCTGTGTGAACAGAAACGACATCTCAGAATGTAATGCGCTCAAAGTTCAGTGCAAAGGGAGACATTGGATTTTACAGAGTTAGCTTAGCAAAGTCTACAGCGAATAAAGTTTGGGGAATACAAAAAAAATACATCTATGTTAATAAAATCATAAACGTTTTAGGTTACACAGATTCACCCCACCGAGTGAATGGGCGACACCAGAGGCACTGTAATGTTATAGCAGAGAAAGCTAAAATGCTGTTCAAATGCTGCTATTTCCACAGAGCTTCTTCTGTTTCTGTATTTGGGCTTCCAAAGGACATGACACAAAGAGAGAAGTGCTTGCAATTTAATTTTAATTATGTTCCAAAGAATTATAAAAAAAACATATAGCTAGCATTAAAAGGATAGCCTACAGAATCTCAGTTCAGTGCTGGATTCAGCTAAAAATTTCTCAAAGGAACAGCAGCTCCAACTATTATAGAACAAGCTGTGGATTGTGAGCCACAACCTATAAGTGTTTGTTTGTTAAAATTGATCTATTACATGCATCGTTTCTAGCATTACCAGTATGTTGTACTGATGATGTAAACAATGGGAAATGCTGTTTGGCACCGCTAACAATTTAGCTACAAATTCATATTTATCTATCAAACCGCTGTAAACACAGACACTCTCACCAGCGCTGCAGTTTCTGTCTATGCGGCTTCTTTCTTTGAGTTCTGCATCTCCAGTAAAGAACTTGCAAAAGACATGTGAACATATCTTTCACATTACTTACACATTTGGAAAATATATAAAAGATACTTGTCAGATTTTATTTTAGAGAACAGGCGTGAGGTTCAGTTGTGTCCTTTGTGTCATTTTCTGTCTGATTCAGGCTCAAACTGATACATCTAACAGTTACACGGACTGACAGTATTTACACAATGGCAAAGCGTGTGCTAGTAGAGGTGTGACGCTTCCTGGTGATGTTGAGCTGATCTCCAAATCACAGCATCACATTATGTTATGTTAGCTGACCAATCAGAACCTCTTGATGGCAGGCTTTCAGAGGAATCAGGAAATATAACAGTCGTTTTCCTGTTAGCTGAGTATCAGTATATAATTAAAGTAAGTTATATGAAAAAATAACGTGATTTTTTTTTTTTAAACAAATAAAGCATGAGCAACCCATAAACAACCAAGCCTTAAAAATACTTTGGACCACCCCTTTAAATTAACTTTTTGTGTTGTGACAGCATAAAGGAATTGTGTGAAACGCAGCATTTCTTTACAGTGAATGTTCTCTATCACTGTAAACATTTAGCTTTATATTACAGTAATAATAATGGATTCTGTTTACTGCTATAAATCAGTTGTATATTATTCCAGTTAAAGGATAATAATTAGGAAACGCTTGGAATGTTATCCAAATTCTGCAATCAGTCAGCAAACAAACCATGACCAACAAGACCAAGGAGGACCAAGGAGCTCTTGTGGACTTGTGGACTTGTGGACTTCAGGAAGGGACAAACAGACTCACATGATCCCATCCACATCAATGTCCACCACATCACATCACATCACCAATCTCATCCTTCAAGTTTTTGGGGGTCCACATCTTAAAGGACCTTTCCTGGTCCATCAACACCTCCAGCCTGGTCAAGAAGCCTCACCAGCACCTATTTTTCTAAAGGCAACTTAAGAAGAACCAGCTGTCATCAGCTGTCTTGGTGAACTTCTACTGCTGCACGATAGAAAGCATCCCGACCAACTGCGTCACAGTCTGGTGTGGAAGCTTCTCTGTTGCTGAGCGTAAGGCACTGCAGCGGGTGGTGAAAATTGCCCAACGCATCACAGTGACCACAGTGCCAGCCATTGAGGCATCCAGAAGAAACACTGTCTGCGTAGAGCACCCTGTATTCTTAAGGACACTTCTCACCCTGCTCACAGACTGTTTTTTTCTCCTGCCTTCTGGCAGGCGCTTCAGGCTCCCCCGGACAAAAACCAGCAGACTGAGGAACAGCTTTTTCCCCAGAGCTGTTTCCCTTCTGAACTCTGACCCCTTTTGCCTATTAATAGCATCCTGTACATATATTCTGCACACTATCTGCACACTTCTTATTTATTAATAGCATCCTGTACTTATATTAATTTAGTGTACATTTCTTTTCGTAGCTAATACAACCTATATATAATGTTTATAGTACATCCATCTGTAAATATCACTATAGTTTTTCAATAACTGCACTTTATAACTTATAACTATATCCTGCACTTGCTGCTATTGCACTGCTGGTTAGACCTAAACTGCATTTCGTTGCCCTGTACTTGTACATGTGTAATGATAATAAAGTTAAATCTAATCTAATCTAATCTCATCGAATCTAATCTAATCTAACGATAATGTGAGAATTGTTGAAGATGTCTAAATAATTTTTGATTTGATTGTGTTTTTCTTCAGATTCGTGAGCATCCTCTGTATCACCTGATTAAGGCTCAGGCTCAGAGGAAGATGGGGCAGCTTCAGGAGGCCATTCAGACGCTGCAGATGGCCATGAGTCTGTGTGCTGTCAAGAGGACGGGCTCCTCAGCCAAACGACAGAGCAAAAGAGTTGAGCTCAGCTCTGCTGACTGCGTGTCTGTGTTCCTGGAGCTGGCCGAGGCTCTGTGGCTCAATGGAGAACAGGTTAGTGAGAATTCTGATCATCTTAGAAGTTATAACAAATATCAGAGAAACGGCTTCTCGAACCATTTTTTAATTAATTGATTAGGGTGGGACAGTTTACAAAATTGTTGGTTTGGTTTGTATCTTGTGTTCTGTGGAGTGATTCGGTTTACATGGTAAAAGATGTAGATGTAGTAGAGTAGGCATTTCATTCAGAAAGATTAGGAAAGGGTTTGAGAGAGTTATTACAACTGAACACACTCCTCCTGCTCAGCATTTCGGTTTGTTATCAAACTGACAGTTGGATGGGCGTTGTTAAGTATGTTAGACATGCCTAACCGTACGTTCACACCGAAAGCGGCAAAAGCGTCAAAGTAGCCGGAAGTCATTCATTTTCAATGAGAGCCGGCGGCGATAAGCGACGAGGAGCAGCGTGCCGCGTCTTCTCCGGCGTGGGCATCCAGGAGAGTTGAAATCAAGTCAACTTTATGGTAATGAGCTATGACGCGGTTCGGCGGCAAGCAATCACAATGAAGACGTCCACCGCTTGATAGGAGTTCAGAGAACACAGACCTGTGAACTTTGGTTCTGACCACAGTTGTTCCCAAGGGTTTGATGATTGCGGTCGCCGGATTTACAATGTTTTCTTACAGGAACATGCATTAAATAAGTTACTGGCGAGTTACTGATGTTCATTAAAGTTATATAAATTTATCTCAAAAAAAAAAAGCGGGAAACTCACGCGACGTGACAGTACAAAACTGTATAGCTGCTTCAGGATATTTCAGACATATGGACACATATTGGATAAATAGAGCAAAGCCACAATGCACGCAACTTGATCTTCCATTGTTAAATGAATTTGATAAGAAGTGTGCAACATTTTCACGCTAGAAACATGTTTTATGCAGGAATGTAACTGATATGCTGCAACGGCTCCTTTAAATACGAGATCAATGTAGCGAGTTTTGACGCTCTCGCCGCCGGAGCTGAAGGCAGACAGCGTTGTCGCCAGGGCGGCCAGAGCGACCTTGGACGCTCTCTCCGCTTTCGGTGTGAACGTACGGTAATACCTCAGACAGATGTGAGAAAAACAAACAGGAAGTGCATTTTCCATTTTCAGATTTTAATTTTAGATTACAAGGGCAATTTTTTTTTTCTTAATGACATATTCTGCATGATCATATTTTACATCCTTAATCCTACTCAATACCTAAACCTAACTTCTACCTTAATAACTATTAACTATAAGCAGTAAATTAGAAGTTTAAAGGCAAAAGTAATTAATAGTGATTCGTTGTACTCTAATATAAAGTGTGACCTTTATAATTAATGCTGCTGCATTAAAAATATTTTTTCTTTGGAGTTAAATGTGTTTTTTTACTTCCAGCATGAGGCAGCTAAAGTGATGCAAGATGCCATTAATGAGTTTACGGGCACACCAGAGGAGCTACGGGTCACTATCGCCAATGCTGACCTGGCACTGATGCGAGGAGATACGGAGCTGGCACTGAGCATGCTCAGAAACATCACGCCTGAGCAGCCCTACTATATACAGGCCAAAGAAAAAATGGCAGATATTTACCTGAACCACAGGAAAGAAAAACGACTTTACGTCAGCTGCTATAGGTAATGCATGTTATTTCCTCATCTGTCAGATTTAGTCCTCAAAATCACTATGGTCTCAGTAAATGGCATAAATTTATGTCCAGGTCACATGATATGCATTATACAGGCACAAACACGCACACGTGGACACACACGCACACACACGCACACTAATTATGGGCAAATTTAAGAGATCAATTGAAAACTAATTCATTTTGCTGAGAGGATGCCAGGGCCATGCATTGATAAAAATAAATCAATAAATAAATTTATCTTGAAACTGAGGTCATTATAATAAAAAAAAAGTTTAAAAAAAATGTTAAGTATAAACTCAATCGACTAATGTCGGAATATTAAATCAGTTCCATGCGTGTTCAATAAAGGTCAAGAGAGGTTTTTCTTCAATGTTTAACATATTAGCAATTTATCATATACAAATAAATAATTTGATCCTCAAGGTATCCTCAATGCAATGCAAGAGTTACATTCAGGGATGCGCAACACATGTCATTTCCTGATTCACACTTGTATACATAGTTAATATTAACAGGTGGAGTTCAGTGGAATTCGTCACTTGTCAATCATTCTTCAGTTCTCCATTGGCCGCACCCATACATACGTCCTCTTTTTCTACTAATTCTCGGCACAAGGTCAAAAAAGTACTAGACTTCTCATCTGCAAATTTTGTGCTCACAGGAAGTTTCGATGCAGAGCTCAAGTTAATTTTAGACAAGCTTCATCTACTTTTGCAAAAATGCTTCATTAGTATGCCAGACATATCACACTCGAGAAGAAGTTTGGTTAATATATCACCTTTAAACAATACAAATACTATTGTTTAGTGAAAAGAAAAAGATGATTAAAAATGAATTTGTAGTTCATTTTTAGTTTCTAAATTCATTCATATTCCTTCGGCTTAGTCTCTTTATTCATTTGGGGTTGCCACAGCGGAATGAAACGCCAACTTATCTAGCTTATGTATTACACATTGGATTGCACAGCTGCAACCTAGTACTGGGAAACATACCCATACACACTCATTCACACACATACACTACTGCCAATTTAGTTTATTTAATTCAGGTATAGCTCGTGTTTGGACTTGTGGGTAAAACCGGAGCACCCGGAGGAAATCCTCCTCCGGGTTGGCACACAAATGCCAATTGGCCCTGCTAGAGCTCGAACCAGCAACCTTCCTGCTGTGAGGCGACATGGCTAACCACTGAGCCACCATGTCACCTATTAACTAACTAAATTAACTAAAATTAAATAAGACAGAATGCAATAAACATTTTATTTAAACTTTTTAAAAAAATCTTTCACATTTACATGTACTTTAATATTGAGATTATTTTATTGTTTTTATTATTTTTTGTTAATGCTTGGCCTTAAGCTTCTTCTGTATTTACTGGATTTAGTCGTTTAGATTAGATTAGTTTTTAACCCAGCTCATCCAAATTTCAAATAATATTGTCAGTAAACTTTTTCAGAAAATAAAAATGTCAGAATTTTTTTTTTTCATTTGTTGAAATTTAAAAGTATTGTTTATTTCACCAAATATTAATTCATCAGCTCCTATAAAAACACTGATATTGTATTGTGCTGTCTAAAATAAACAGTAAAACTTAAAACATAAAACTTATTTTTGTTATTTTATGCAGAATATATTTACATTTTGTTTACAAAACGTTTTTATTTAACATTTTAAAAAATAATCTCTAGTTTACATACATAAAATGTGTAATACTTAATTATAACATAATACTTAAGTAAAACACAATAAAAGAATCAACCTGTACATTTTAAAGCTCTGTTCCTGTGTTTATATGGCCTATATTATGTTTTTGTTTGTTTGTTAAGCACTTTGAATGGCCATTGTCTATGCATTGAGCTATGTACAGTATTAGCCCCAAATTCTGGTTAATGGAAAGAAGATTGTTTCAACACATTTCTAAACATTATATTTTAAACAAATTTCTTATAACTGATTTATTTTATCTTTGCCATGATGACAGTAAATAATATTTTCCTAGATATTTTCCTAGACACTTGTATTCAACTTAAAGTGACATTTAAAGGCTTAACTAGGTTAATTAGGCAAGTTAAGGGGGTCACACACCAGAAGTGCCGTTCGGCATCGTGCCACACATTTTATTAAAAACTGCTTTTATTCTAGCCGAAATAAAACAAATAAAACCTTCTTCTTCAGAAAAAAATTATAATGATATTATATATATTATAATAAAATGCTCTGTTAAACGTTGTTTGGGAAATATTTGAAAAAGAAAAAAAACTTTCACAGCAGGGCTAATAATTTTGACTTCAACTGCATACAAGGCCTGGAGCTCTTTAATGTTATTCTCATATGCTGACAGATTTCAACACATGCGACGTTACAGCTGTGCAAACAGTCATCAAAAATTCATGTACACACTCTCTAGTTTTGCCAGCGAGTTGCATTAATATCTTTGTATGCCATCAGGGAACTGGTGGACAAAATGCCGAATCCTCACAGCTTCCTCTTACTTGGTGATGCCTACATGAACATTCAGGAGGTGGGAAATTACAGCTTCCTGCAGTTTATTCCAGTGTTTACGTTTGTCTTTCAATGTTGCAGTTAAACAAGATCTTTGCTTAGAAGCTCAAACATGTATTTCCTTACTTTTTTAAAGCTTGCTCTTGCTTGATGACCAGACAAATATTTGCTGCATAATGTAAACAGCAATCCCTTATCCTTCCAGTGGTCACAAATTACTGGAACGGGATATTTCTCAGCCCTGTTGTAGCAAGATAATGTTTTTTTTACCTTTATGACAAATTTTGACCAATATCATAATGATTATTACATTTACATTTAATCATTTGGCACAACTTTTCAGCCCGTGACCCCATTACAACAATGCCAGTGACTCACGACACCCACTATTTCCTGAAGTGGTTATTCATTCAATCATTCATTTTCTTTTCAGCTTAGTCCCTTTATTAATCCGGGCTCGACACAGCGGAATGAACTGCCAACTTATCCAGCAATTTATTTTCGCAGTGGATGCCCTTCCAGCCACAACCCATCTCTGGGAATTGAAGTTGTTATAATCATACAAAAGTCGCACACAACAGCTCACACACACCCAATAGGCCTATATAAACATGAGCGTATTGACAACACAAAAAAGTGCAACAGTGTAACAACCATATTTATTTCTCCATTTTGGTGGGCACAATTTTTAAGTTATATCACAAGTTTTTTTGGTTTAATGTTGTAGACCACCACTCGGAGATCATCCTCCACGTTCAGTCATGGCCTGTATTTATTTTAAATGTATGTGAGTGCCATAAAAGTGTCAGAAAGTTTAGGCTTGTGACAAAATTAATCTGCTGCAATGGACGCTATTGCTGTGTTGTTAAAGGGAAAATGAAGCAGTCAAGTTTACTTAATTTTGTAAATTGTTTTCCACTTTAATGAAAATATATTAAACAAACTCAACTAATGTAACCATTTAGAAGAAAAATGCATGTTTTACTATAGTTTTTAGACCTAGGGTGCTGCCATCTTGGAATGTCGCTGTGTCTGACGTCACAGGGTTGGTTCCGCTCCCTCATCTGAACAGATACAGTGGAAATAAAGGACTGAACCGGAGACTAAACATCCTTATTTAACCCAATGCGTGAAGTTGTGAGCATAGAGCTGGTGCAAAGACAAGCATCAGATGTGTGTCTAATATAAAAATATATACAGTATATTTATTCTATTTTACATTTTTTCCCTTTCAATTACCAATCATTTGACGCAATATGCTCCACTCTCTGTATTACACTGCCTGACTGCCTGTCTGGGTTTCAGTCATTCATTGGTTTCGACCAGGTTCGATGCTAATGTAATGGGGCGGGTGCTTTCACTTTTTACTACTACCGCCCCTCACCTGTTTTCGTGTTCAAAGCAAACTCGGCGTGTTTTTTTCACATGACAGGTTTTCACATCCTTCATACATGTTGAGAGATCGAGTTGATCAACTTGAAGTGAGAATATGTCTTGACATAATCCACAAAGATGTGAAAAGTCATTTATCATTTAATCATTGCATTAGTCTGAATGTAAACGTAATACTTGACTCTGATTGGTCAGTCACATAATTTCAATGAATGTTATTTCCTGATAACAACCTCTGAAACTAATAACACACTTTTAATAACATACTTTGAATAATCTCAATTACATATATATGTAATAATGTTCCGCTTGCTCTCCCCCCTTTCTGGGTGTTCGATCATGCCTTCCCCACCACAATATACTTGTATGCTTATCTGACATAGCACTGCTTTTGACTGTTTGGCCGAACAGATAATACTAGTAAGTTAGTGCTCATCCTACCATTTAATTATTTAGCCTTTGTTTTTTTTTTTTTACTGCGATTGCTAGATTTACTGTTTAATTAGATAGATTACACGAGCTGGATTCACTGGTCAGATGCGCTCCTAGCACACTGAGGACATCTGCTGGTCACAAAAGTATCTGACATGCCCCGCCCCTTTCAAGATGCTTTTTATTTGCTTTTCGTTTGATGTGCTTCATCTCAACCACTTTCACTGGCAGAGTTGTAATAAAAACCAAATGCTGTTGGCTGGTTTTCAAAAAGGGGTGGAGTTACAATGTGTCTAGCCCTGTATTCATGAATTGCAGTTGATTACATCAAATATTGAACAAAAAAGCTGCACATTTCAAAGCATTAAATGGGAACTTTAAATTATACAATGTATCTGCTATTTCTTTCAGTGAGTAAGAATCGTTTTGATTTTCATCATTACACTGATGTTTATGTATATATATAAAAAAAAAATATGTTCTCTGCTGACAGCCGGAGTTGGCCATTGAAGTGTATGAACAAGCCCTGAAGAAAAACCCTAAAGATGGAGCTCTGGCCAGCAAGATTGGAAAAGCACTGGTCAAAACCCACAACTATGTAAAGGTAAGTGCAGAAGAATCTTTGCATAAATACACCAAAACAAAGTTTGAGTTTGTTCCATATCTGATTAGTTTGGAAAAGAATTTCTGTTTTGATATGCACACATTTATGACTATTTCTCCATGTTTTTTTCTCAGGCTATCAATTATTATGAGGCAGCGTTGAAGAGCGGACAGCAGAATTTCTTGCGTTATGATCTGGCTGATCTGCTCATGAAGCTCAGACAGTACGAACGCTGTGAAAAAGTCCTGCAAGAGGCTCTCGCACATGATCCTGGTGAGACAATTATGAAGGAGTTATGACTGAATAGGTTTTAAAAAAAACATAGCATTTCCCAAAAGATGCAGGTGATTTGATTGTTAGTTATCCAATCAGGAATTAAATGTGCGAGAAAGTGGAATATTTTTCTCTCTGATGTCAGTTTCCACAAATTGCCATGGTTGTTTGTCATTGATATTAACCATCAATTATTCGTTTAATTGCTCATTTTAATGTTAGATGTGTTCTTAAGTGGCAAAGGAAAATGTTTTTATCTTATAATAACAACACAGCATTTCTGTCTTTATTTTTCAGTGATTGAGCTGCCTCTGCTTACTGAAGATTGTCGGTATCTTGTTCTTCTTGCCAAAGTCCAGAGCAAAGTTATTAAAAATGATGAAGCATTGCTGTCCTTGCAGAGAGTGAGTTAAATGACTTTTTGTGTGTAGTAGTGTTGTTATTGTTAATTAAACTGAATTGTCTGTCAATTACATCTAGCTAAAATAAAATGTAAATAATAATACATAGAAATATAAAGAAATTAAAGTTATTTAATTAAGAGTAAGAATATATATGTATAGTTGAAGTCAGAATTATTAGCCCCTCTTTGATTATTAATATTTTTTTTCTTTTTTCAATATTTCCCAAACGATGTGTAACAGATCAAGGGAATTTTCACAGTATGTCTGATAATATTTTTTTCTTCTGGAGAAAGTCTTATTTGTTTTATTTTGACTTGAATAAAAGCAGTTTAATTTTTTTTTTTACTATTTTAAGGACAAAATAATTAGCCCCTTTAAGCTACTTTTTCCCCCCTAAATTCTACAGAACAAACCATCATTATACAATAACTTGCCTAATTTACCTAACCTGCCAAGGTAATCTAATTACCCTAGTTAAGCCTTTAAATAAAAGCCTTTGAGCTGTATAGAAATGTCTTGAAAAATATCTAGTAAAATATTATTTTTGGGGGTAATAATTCTGACTTCAACTATGTATGTATATATGTATACTGTATATATACAGTGTTTCCTCTAGGATTTTTTTTCCAGCTGTGGTGACAGGTCTTTTACACAAATCTGCCAGCTACCTATGGCGGTATTTCAATGACAAATGGAGAAATGTTGTGTGTGCAGTATAGCGATATTAAGTCAAGATCACATTTATGTATTACAAGCATGCAAATCTCTGCTTGTGTGCCGATTTCCTCTGTCCGTGTAAACAATTTCTTTCACGCCCTCAAATAAATGCTGCTCAAGCGCAGATCTTCTTGTGTGCTCTCAGATAAACGCTGCTGTAATGCCATTTAGTGAGTTTATGTAACGAGTGTGTCCAGGCACGTGCACACATAGGGCTCAACCTGTGCAGTGCACATGCCCTTTTTAGTCTTGGAAAGAAAGTGCCCTTCCAAAATGATCAAAAGTGCCCCCGCGACGCGACACACCCTCCGTCCCGCCCTTCAGTAGGCGCACGACAACACTGATCTTGAGTACGCGGCCTCAACCCCCCCTCCCCCGCTTTACAGTACGCGCGCAACAACACAGCTGATTAGTACGCTTCAGTACGCGCCCCCCTTCAAAAAATGTATCTTGCACATGCCCTTTGGACCGTCTCTACACGGGCCTGAGTATGTCATAAAGCTGATAAATGTCAAAAGCACATCACAAAAGTACTAACGTTGAAATAAAAATTGCAAGAAAAAGTTAAATATGAAGGTAAAATCTTTATTTTAAAAATTATTAAATAAGTACCTTGTAAGTATTCACAAAAAGCATAAATAATTAAACCTGAGTTAATTAATAGTCCAAATTACATTCAGAACTCTCTTCTGAAGTTAAACATTACCTTCTTTCACATAATTTCCCAACATAATAAATAATTAAATAAAAGCTGATGTGAATTATACCCAGAACAGTTGTGTGGTGTGGATGTGAACAGTTGTGTACAATGGTTGTAAAAGTGTTCCTCCTTTTGAAATTGTAAAAAAACTTCATTCAATTCATTCATCTTGTCCCAACTCAAATAATTAAGTTAACAAAACTAGTTTAAGTGGATTGAACATTAAGCAAAAAGAAAGTTTCCCCAGAAATTCTCCAGAATTGTGGTGTTTTAGGAAACAGAAAGCTGCTCCTACTCCTATATATATATGCATACATACATACATACATACATACATACATATATGACGTCCTGTTTGTGGCACATTAGTTTATGTGAGGGGGCAAACTTTTCAAGATGGGTAGTGACCATGGTGGCCATTTTGAATTCGGCCATCTTGGATCCAACTTTAGTTTTTTCAATAGGAAGAGGGTCATTTGACACATCAAACTTATTGGGAATTTCACATGAGGGATGTAACAAAACATTTAGATCTGGTGAAAATCAGATTCTCCCTAAAAAAAAACAAAGAATTTGGAAACATTTAATAGATCGTTTTAAAAACATCAATTCTAGAGGAAATAGTTAAATTAAAGATGATTAGACTAATTTAGATTAAAAAAAGTATTTCTTTCTTTCTTTAATTATTGTATTTATCTATTATTATTTTACTTTCTTATGCATTGTTTTTATATTGTCTCTTTTATGATGAATTGTTGTGTAAAAATGTTCGTTGGATCAAAAAAGTCAGTGTGTTTTAATATTTAAAAAATAAAGAAAGTATAAAATTTTTTTTTGTTTTAGCTTATTTGAAAAAAATAGTTTGAACAAGCAGCAAAAATCTTTTTGTTGTTTTTGTTTGCAGGCCAGAGACGTGCAGGCGAAGGTGCTGAAGCGTGTTCAGCTGGAGCAGCCCGACTCGGTGCCTGCACAGAAACAGCTCGCCGCAGAGATCTGTGCTGAAATCGCCAAACACTGCAGCAGCCAGAGAGGCTACGAAAGAGCCGTCAAGTTCTACAAAGAGGCGCTTGTGTACTGTGAAAACGACAGCAAGGTCGGTGCGGCTCCATCACTGAGCCCCTGTGTGTTTCTCTGCAGCTGTGTGTGTGCACTTACTGAAAACTGTCACCAGTCAGCACCTAAGAGAGCAAATTAACATCCTTTCAAATTCAAATTTTATTTGTCACATACAGCGTCATACACACACTACATACATACACTATGATATGCAGTGAAATGCTTACACAAATGCAATTTTCATTTACAAGCCAGAGATGGTTTAGCTAGACTTGAGGTGAAAGTTGATTGTTTGCTCCCACTTGTGGACTGTCCGATGGCATTTTTTTTATTTGATTTATTTTTAACAAGAGAACAGCATGTAGCAAAAGGAAAGAAAAGCAAGTAGCAACTAGACAAAAAAAGCATTTGCCAAATGCCTTTTTAAAAAGCTATTTAAATTGTGCATTTAAAATGATCTATAAATATACATTTTTACACATAAATTAAACAAACATTTATACAATCCACTTATTTATACATTTAAAAGTTATTTTTAAATGCATTGTTTTATTGCTTTATTAAAGGAGATTTAAAGACATAATTTAAACAAACACATTTAAATATGTCCTTTTATTTGTCCTTTAACTGTCAATTTAAATTGTGATTTATTTATACACATTTTAAAGCTTCAAATATTAAATTTATAATTTAATTTTTTTTTTTTTTTTTAACCGGCACTCCTGGTCGCCCATATACTTAACCACTCGTAACCTTAAAACAATAACAAAAATAATAACAATAAGAATTTAAATTGGGCGAGGCAGTGGCGCAGTAGGTAGTGCTGTCGCCTCACAGCAAGAAGGTCGCTGGGTTGCTGGTTCAAACCTCGGCTCAGTTGGCGTTTCTGTGTGGAGTTTGCATGTTCTCCCTGCCTTCGCGTGGGTTTCCTCCGGGTGCTCCGGTTTCCCCCACAGTCCAAAGACATGCGGTACAGGTGAATTGGGTAGGCTAAATTGTCCGTAGTATGTGTGTGGATGTTTGTGTGAATGTTTCCCAGAGATGGGTTGCGGCTAGAAGGGCATCCCCTGTGTAAAAACTTGCTGGATAAGTTGCCGGTTCATTCCGTTGTGGCGACCCCGGATTATTAAAGGGACTAAGCCGAAAAGAAAAAGAATGAATGAAGTGAAGAATTTAAATTTTGGAGAAATATGTGGATGAAGTGTCTGAATAACAATTTTGAAAACCTGGTTAGTAACTACTATACCAAACTTGGTGACCAATAAGCTGAAGACCGGGGGGGAGGGGGCGGTGAGTTAGGTATGAGGTGAGATTATGGTAGTTTTCCAGGAAAAATAAAAAAACAGGAGGGTGGCGGGAGATGGGTCTGAAATATGGGACACTCCTGGGCAAAATGGGAGTGTTGGCAGGTATGGATCTCGGACGAGAGTCAAATGATCTTTTTAGGCATATTTAGATAAACATACAACACAATACAAAACAAAACAACACAGCACATACACACAAAACAACAACATAACAGAACACCACTAATTTAATGCACACCCTCCAGTCATTTAGTACAAAAACAATTTCAACAGACTATAGAATAATAGAGAATAAGTGGTCATACAAATTAGGATTATATTTTAAATGACGATGAATGTTTTAGCGACAAAATGGGTAAAACCTAGTGACTTAGGATAATGGCAAGATTTAAATCAACAATTAATGAGCATTTTGCTGATCTTTAAATGAGTCATTTAATGTCATCAAATGATTCTTGATCTGAACATTCCTGAAAATATCACTTGACATGTAAACAATTGCTACACTAAATTATATTTTAGTAGATATCTTCTATATAAATAAATATCTGCATTGTGATGTGTTAAACAGAAATTGGGGTAAAGAAATTTAAAGTGGGGCTAATAATTTTAGACTTCAATTGTCCTTAACCCTAATGTCAGTCTAATTCATTCAAGACAAAGTTTTGACATGCAGTTACTCTCACTTGAAGTGATTCAGTAGTTAAAAGCACAGTATGTACTTTTGACCACTAGAGGGCAGATATTAAAAACAAACAAAGGCGTATTTTGGTGATGCCATGACTTGATTGTTGAGCCATGAAAGTTGTGGTTTTTGTTACATCCTCCTGGACAGCAGAAATCATGTTGATGGATGAATAAAGTATTCAACTCTTATTATCGTGGTAATATGAAGCAACTGTATAATATTGATCTTAAAAAAAAAAAAAAAATTCTGCTTTTATTTGAGTCAAAATAAGACTTTCTCTAGAGGATTATAGGAAATACTGTAAACAATTCTTTGCTCATAATTTGGGATATACTTGAATATTTTAGTATATTATATATTAGAAAATCACAGGAGGGCTAATAGTTTTGACTTCAACTGTACATATAGTGCATGCTTTACTGCATAAAATACAAACGTAAAAGAGTTTTAGAGTGTGTATTCAGCACACGTGTTCATGTTCCTGTGAAAGTAACTGTGTGTGTCTTGTGTATTTGATCAGGTGATGCTGGAACTGGCTCAGCTTTACCTCACTCTGGATGATGTGGAGGCCTGTCAGCAGCAGTGCAGTGCCATTCTGAAAAACGACCCGGTCAATGAGTCCGCCACGTTGGTCAGTCCGGCTAAACACAATCTCTAGCAATCAATGTCGATTCAATAAATATAAAACTAAATATATAACAACAATGTAGGGCTAATAATATTGACCTTCACCAGATGATTTAACAGGTTTATTTGGATTGATTGGAGGGATTTTGTCGATGAGTAAATCTTGAATAATATATAACAAATTAATTACAAGGATAGATAAATAAAATATAGTAAATTATAGTTTTCATGTATTCATTATTCAGGTACAGATACTGAATAATCAACACTGCATAGTCTTCATTGTATATTATTTAATCTTTATTAACGTTACAATAATTTTCTTGTGGCCAGATGTTGAAATATTAAAATGTTCACATAGTCACAGGCCTTAACCCTTAAAGACCCTCCCTCCTCCATGCCCAGATTGGTTCAAACTCGCTATATCAAAACCAATAAGCATAGGTTTCGCTTTTGTTGGTGGACCAACAATGAGCTTTTTGAACAACGCGGAATGAGAGATAGGCATACATTTATGCGCGGCTAAATAAAACGCAAAAAAAGTTTTGCATGAAATAATTTTCATACTAAGTACTTTTGCATGCACAGCAGCACAGAAACATGACAAAACAGTGACACAGCAAAAACGAACTGCTGCTCTTGCTGTTTTCAAAAGACGCAAATGAAGGTGCAGCTGTTTGTCTTTGCAGACAACCATATCCAAATCCATATCAACAGACAACCATATCCATGCTGGCACATTAAACCTAAGGATGTTCCATATTGAATCTAGTTTAGTTATGTAACTATTTATAGTATAGTAAATATTTATATCTATTCTTTTACTGAGGATTTGCACCATGTTTATTTGGACTTTGACACATTATTAATTATTTTCTTATTTTTTTATTTGTTCATTGTAAGTGGTGTTGTTTATAGTAACTGAAAATATATTATTTAGAAAAAGTCAAATTTGCTTCACTGTTCTATTATTTTGTAACATTTTTTTTCTGTTTAGTTCATTCCCAGAACTTTTGGGCAAATACATTGTCAGTAAATAAATGCATTTTTTCCCCCATAGAAAAACGCCTTGGAATAACATTGAAATAAATTGCTATAACTTGCTCAGGGAATTGTGGATGTAGACAAAATTTATTTTGGAAGTATAAAACATCATAGCATGTATTTCTAAATAAAGAAAAACAAATTTCATAAGGTTTTGTTTGTAATAACTAGAAAATGCCACTTTTTTAAAAATCGTTTCTGGAAAATTCTGGAATATTTTCTGTCTGTTCATATGTTTTTGGACCAAAAAATATTTTAGACTGGACCTTTAAATGATACAGATTGAAACTTCAGGTTCTCCTGTTTAAAATGATATATGACACTTGAGGCTGACTGCTAAAAGAAAAATAAAACTGCTTTTAAAAAAATAATATAGGCCCATTAGGTGCCCACAAAATACCTCTAGGTCTTTAAGGGTTAAAGGGACAGTTTACACAAAGATTAAAATGTACTCACTGTTTACTCACACTTAATTTGTTTCAATATTATAGGAGTTATTAAATTATATTATTTTTGTGTTCATTTAAAAAGAAAAGAAAACTCATAAATGTTTGAAACAAGCGAAGGGTGTAATGAAAATGTCAATTTGTGGGTGAACTATCTCTTTAAAAATGCGTGCAGATGATAAACCTTTAGTCCATTATGATTAAACTCTATATTAAACTATAATCCCAACATTGCATATCCTGCAATGTGACTATTGCGGATGCACACATTGTAATATCGATGTTGAAATATTGTGCAGCCCTTGAATATAGGTTAGCTGTCTTTACTTATTTACTGTCCTTGGCCAAAAACTTGCTCTCACATTGTTAGTGCTGTGTAAGCATTATTAAAATCTATTTTACATAGATATAAAAAACTAATTTAAACTAAATAGATTATTGTGTGATCTATGATATGCTATAATAAATTTGAACATCATTGTTTTTCTTATTATTTACCATGCATATGTATACATTACATGCAACATTACATCATGAAAATGTACTTGAAAGTTCTGCAAACGTCATGGAATTTTAGTAGTAAAATCTGTATGAACCCTGTCTTGTTCTAACCGGAATCAAACAGATAAGACTTTCCCCAGAAGAAAAAATATTATAGGAAATACTGTGAAAATTTTCTTGCTCTGTTAAACATCGTTTGGGAAATGTTTGAAAAACAAATCACATGAGGGCGAATACCTCTTGACTTCAGCTGTATATGATTTGGTGACGGTCCGTTTCATGTGTTTGTTAGATGATGGCAGATCTCATGTTCCGGAAGCAGGACTATGAACAGGCTGTATTTCACTTCCAGCAGCTCTTGGAGAGGAAACCAGGTGTGTGGTTCCTCTCTGACCTTTTAGCGCATTACACCATTCACATAGCAGCTCTCTTAACCTTTCCCCTGTAGACACTCATATGAACCGCATGAGAAATCCAAGCATCCAGCACACTGTAATGAACTCATTTAATCTCTTCCCTAGACAACTACCCAACACTGTCCCGCCTCATCGACCTGCTGCGCAGAGCCGGAAAACTGGAGGAGGTGCCAAGATTCCTGGAGATGGCAGAGAAACACTCATCCAGGGCCAAGTTTGAGCCTGGATACAATTACTGCAAAGGCCTTTACCTGTGGTAAGATTATACAATATTGAGGCTTAAAGGTGGTGTTAGGGTTGCCCAGTGGGGTTGATAATAAATTAAACAAATAATTAAAACTCTGAAATGTATAACTAATGAATTATTTTGTTTGTTTACCTTCATGTCTGATGCGATTAATTGACATCAGAGAACTGTGAACATGCACGTGTTGTTAATGAACAAATGTATATGTATTATACAGTTGAAGTCAGAATTATTAGCCCCCCTTTGAATTTCTTTTTCGTTTTTAAATATTTCCCAAATGTTGTTTAACAGAGCAAGGAAATTTTCACGGTATGTCTGATAATATTTTTTTCTTCTGGAGAAAGTCTTATAAAAGCAGTTTTTGATTCTTTAAAAAACATTTTAAGGACATAATTATTAGCCCCTTTAAGCTAAATTTATTTTCAAAAGTCTACAGAACAAACCATTATTATACATTAACTTGCCTAATTACCCTAACCTGACTAGTTAACCTAATTAACCTTAAGCCTTTAAATGTCACTTTAAAGGGCCATGACACCCCCCACTTTCGGTTAAAGTCTACTTCAGAATTTTTTCAAAAGATGCATGATTAATGGGCGTGGAGCTCCGCGAGCATCGGGCAGGAGTGGGCGTGGCCAGCAGGGGAGAGAACAACTGTTGTTGACAGTTAGCTCACAAACTGAGACACAAACCGTGAGGAGACGCATGAGTTTATAGTTCACAAAGTTAAAATGCAAAGAAATAAACAGTGATTTAATGCCCTGCTACATTTGTTATTCGGAATTTCATATACACATAACCACAATTTATATCATTATAAAGATAAGTGTGTTTATGTAAACACTATAAATGTGGATTCTCCCTCGATCCCCGGGTCTAAATTATAGATCTTGAATGCAGACTCAGTGCAGCAGGTCTCCTGACCTGTCTATTTTAACCATTAGCCCTGCTGGTAATATAGAGGATTTAGGCAAACACAGCAGCACGGTGATGTGTCTGAATGTGAACGAACTCCTGATAAAAGTCAACGTCCGCTATTCTTCAATTCTTGTACTGCTCTCCCGACAAAAATGCTTGCAGCACACACACAGCTTTGCTGTATGAGCGGCCCTGACAGGATCGCGGGGAAAAAAACATGCAACAAACCCCGTGGATCATGAAAACAAACACATACGAGCCTTCATGAACGGCTACTGCGTGCCGTTGGTCTGTGTCTCACAGCTTGCTTGAAACTGGCAGGTCTGCCTTCGGAATGCACGTGCTCTCATGAATAATTAAGCAGCCGGCTCTTCTCATAGGATAAGAAAACTCCGCTATGAATAATAATGAGAAACCGACGCGTCATCATTGCACTTGCAGTACTGCGCTACGTCGCCGATTTTGATCCGCCCCAAAAATCATTTTAAAGCCGGAAGCTGAAATTAATTGACAAAAGCTCAAAATTATCCAGTTTTCCCCACAATTAAAGCTGACAGGTGCTAACATTGTCTTAACTGATGCTCAACACAAACAAATCTGTTAATATAAAAAAAAAGTTCTCCAGGGTGTCCTGAACCTTTAAGCTGTATAGAAGTGTCTTGAAGAATATCTAGTCAACTATTATTTACTGTCATCATGGCAAAGATAAAATAAATCAGTTATTAGAATTAAGTTATTAAAACTATTATGTGCAGAAATGTGTTAAAAGGTAAACAGGGGGCAAATAATTCAGGGGGGCTAATACTTCTGACATCAACTGTCATAAAATATAAGGAACATCATAAAATAAGTTAAATATTATTGCTGGGATATTTGTTATTATTTTTTGATAAGGTAAACCTAATTAACCTAGTTAAGCCTTTAAATGTAACTTTAAGCTGAATACTAGTGTCTTGTAAAATATTGTGTTGTCATCAATACAAAAAGGAAATGAAATTAAATCTTTAATTTTAAGAAATTTTATTAAAATTATTGTTTAAAATGGGCTGAAAACCATCTATTTTTATTAGCATTTTCTAATAAATGCTGTACTATATACACTCATCTGCCACTTTATTAGGTACACCTAATCACACACCTGTCCATCTGCTCGTTAACGCAAATTTCTAATCAGCCAATTACATGGCAGAAACTTGCATTTAGACATGTAGACATGGTCAAGATGATCTGCTGCAGATCAAACCAAGCATCATAATTGGGAAGAAAGGGGATTTAAGTGACTTTGATCATGGCAAGGTTGTTGGTGCCTGACGAGCTGGTCTGAGTATTTCAGAAACTGCTGATTTACTGGAATTTTCATAAACAGAGAATGTTTACAGAGAATGTTTTGTAAAAGAGAAAAAATCCAGTGAGCGGCAGTTCTGTGGGCGCAAATGCCTTGTTGATGTCAGAAGGCAGAGGAGAATGGCCAGACTGGTTCCAGCTGATAGAAAGGCAACAGTAACTCAAATAACCACTCGTTACAAACGAGGTATACAGAAGAGCATCTCTGAACACACAACATGTCCAACCTTGAAGCAGATGGGCTATAGCAGCAAAAGACCACACCAGGTGCCACTCCTGTCAGCTAAGAACAGCAAACCGAGGCTACAATTCACACAGGCTCACCAAAACTGGACAATAGACGATTGGAGAAACGTTGTTTGGTCTGATGAGTCTCCATTTCTGTTGTGACATTCGGATGGTAGGGTCAGAATTTGCCGTCAACAACATAAAAGCATGGATCCATCGTGGCTTGTGTCAACGGTTCAGGCTAGTGGTGGTGGTGTAATGGTGTGGGGGATATTTTCTTGGCACACTTTGGGCCCATTAGTACCAATTGAGCATCGTGTCAACACCACAGCCTACCTGAGTATTGTTGCTGACCATGTCCATCCTTTTATGACTACCGTGTACCCATTTTCAAATGGCTACTTAAAGCAGGATTACGCACCATGTCATAAAGCATGAATCATCTTAGACTGGTTTTTTTGAACATGACAATGAGTTCACTGACCTCAAATGGCCTCCACAGTCACCAGATCCTCAATACAATAGAGCCCCTTTGGGATGTGGTGGAACAGGAGATTCGCATCATGGATGTGCAGCCAACAAATCTGCAGCAACTGCGTGATGCTGTCATGTCAATATAGACCAAAATAATATTTCCAGTACCTTAGTAAATCTATGCCACAAAGAATTAAGGCAGTTCTGAAGGCAAAAGGGGGTCTAACCTATGGCCGGTGCCCGCCTCTTGGGCAGTATGCTCAGTCTGTCATGGAAACAAGGAGCAAGTAACAGAATTTATTAGGAACAACAAAGCACATGAGCTGATATGTAGATTGCTGGTAGATGACAGGTGACTTAATCAGGAAGTAAGTGAATCTCATAGAATAAAGATAGTTACTAAAACTGGTAACAAGTTCGAGCAGCCGTCAACAGAGAAGATCAAAAGTCCAATGAAGTCCTCAACAGAGAAGATCAAAAGTCCAACGGCACAAATTCTTCGAGCTCTCTTACCACCAGCAACTCAGCGACGAGGGCCTGACAGGGCACAGACAAACCGTGAGGACAACAAACTGACAATGTGAGACAGGAACGCTAAACAGATATAGGCGCAGTAATGCGCAGCACCTCACGTGACCACCCAGCTGATGACATGTAATCACAACTGACAGCCACGCGACTTCCACATAGACAGAGAGAGAGACACACACACACACGCACACACACGCAGACAACACACACACGCAGACACATCATAGAAGAAACAGACAGATCCACAATCGTGACACGGGCATTCTGTTTGAATGGGGAAACATGAAATTCTCACGTCTGGTCCAAGCCTCTCCCCTGGAGAATTGTCATTCTGTAACGATCACTGATTGGCTCCTGTACTAGAAGGCGGGCTTTATTCGCCATATAGCGATAGCTGATTGGCTACTGTACTAGAAGGCGGGCTCTTTTCGCCATATAGCGATGGCTGATTGGCTACTGTACTAGTTGGCGGAGCTTCATCCGATATATTGACAGTTACAGTTTTTCCTATTCAAAAGTATACAAGGGACATGTCTTGTGTATTCTTTAGTCTTTGTTCGTACTCCAATAATACAATTCTTTCCTGATGAATGATGCTGATAATTTTTTGCTTTGCATCACACAAATGAACTGCATTTTTAAAATATATTTGCATTTAAAATAACCTTTACATTTTAATATTTCAAACATTTCTTTCTGCAGCAAGGAGATCTGATTTTCATATTCGTATTGTAAATGTATTGTAACCCGTTTACTGTGCTCTGTTTGCTGAATGGGATACAATGAAGTAAATCTCACAAATTTACATTTGACTTTACAGTTATTCTTATTTTTTATTCTGAATTTGATACGCACATGTATAGTATAATGATCTTCTGCGTCTCAAAGGTACACTGGTGAACCCAACGATGGGTTGCGTCACTTTAACAAAGCCCGAAAAGACAATGACTGGGGCCAGAACGCAGTTTACAACATGATTGAGATTTGCCTCAACCCTGACAACGAAACCATCGGAGGAGAAGTGTTTGAGAACCTGGACGGAGACATGGGGTGATGTGTTTTTAATTTTCTTTTTGTAAAATCTAAAATCAAGATTAAAGGGCTATTTTACCCCTTTTACAAGATGTAATGTATGTATATTGTATCTCCAGAATGTGTCTGTAAAGCTTCAGCTCAAAAACCATCAGATTATTTATTATACAATGCTTACAATGCCCATTTTGAGGTCAGAGGAAAGAGTAGTTGTTTTTGTAGCCTGTGCCTTTAAATGCAAATGAGACCGTTCTGCCCACCTCTGCCCCCTCTGTTCCTACATGCGTGTCTGCTTCCACTGCAGCATGTGAGATAAACAGCAGTCAGTGACAGAGACAGGCACAAATGAAATGGAAATGCAGTTTATTAGTCAAAATACAAAGTAATTAATAATAATATAAACTTATTTAATGCATTTGTTGTGGAGTTTATTCAAGCCTTTCTGCAATGATGAGTCACACACAAATGCTGCTACAAAGTACGCAGTCGACACACGCACACACACTTTTAACTCTGAACTGTTTTTGCACGTCTACTTGTGGCAATTGTGACAGGATACAAGTTAATATACACTGCTATATGGATATCCAGTGTGCTACTGTACAAAATAAATCAATTTCTGTGTGGAGTTTGCATGCTCATCCCATGTTAGCGTGGGTTTCCTCCGGGTGCTCCGGTTTCTCCCACAGTCCAAAGACATGCGCTATAGGTGAATTGAATACGCTAAATTGTCTGTAGTGTATGTGTGTGAGTGAGTGTGTATGGATGTTTCCCAGTGATGGGTTGCAGCTGGAAGGGGCATTCGCTGCGTTAAACATATGCTGGATAAGTTGGCGGTTCATTTCGTTGTGGTGACCCACTGATTAATAAAGGCACTAAGCCAAAAAGAAAATAAATGAATGACAATAAACCAGATTTAATGTCCACAAATCAGGCTCCTGTTGTGTGTTTGACGCATCGGAGAGTTAAACAGATCTTTTAATTCCAGTTTCTTTGCAAATCCTGTTCTGTGAACTTGTTTATATGCGTTAATACGGATACTTAATTAATTACAGTGGGGAAAACTGTAATCCTGCATTGTGGTGGGCCTTAAAATTGCTGGGATTTGGATCCTATTTTAACATCAGAAAACTTTTAAAAAGAGACTTATTGTGTTTCTATCGCTTTAATACAATAGTGAACACACTATACCTTCACACAGCTCTGTTCAAACAGCTTCCAAAAGTTGATTTGGCATCAAAGGTGCCCTTTAATGTACCAATACTGATAGTGCATGTGTTTTGGTTGAGTTCAGGAACTCCACTGAGAAGCAGGAGTCCGAGCAGCTGGCTGTGAGAACAGCAGAGAAACTCTTAAAGGAGCTGAAGCCACAAACCCCTGTGGGACACGTTCAACTGCGCATCCTGGAGAACTACTGCTGTCTGGCCACCAAACAGAAGGCCAATGTGGAAAGAGCTCTCAACGTCTTTATCGAGATCGCAAACACTGAGGTTTGTGGGCATCACATGATGGACATAAATGCATATACATCCAAAAATTACACCGGAATCGCACCTTCAGCACAAACATATACTAGAATGTTTATAATATACATATAATCAGAATGTTTTTTTACTAAGCATGCATTATAATGATCAAATTCAGATTTTGGTCACATTTTACATTTAGGTTTAGTTCATGTGTTACTAACATCAGCTAAAAATGAACAATAGTTGTACAGCATTTATTAATAATCATAGTTCTGCTCTTATTCATCCATTTTTAAAATCCAAATTCTAGTTTGTTATCATTAGTTAGTGGACCGTGAGTTAACATGAAGTAACAATGCACAGCTTATTAATACTGTATATATTTACTGTATGTATTATTTATTATTTGTTCATGTTAGTAAATCGGTTAACTAAAATTCACTAATACAACCTTGTAATGTGTTACCAAGACTTCTGTGTGAAATAAACGTTGTGCTTTTGCACATTTCTGTTCATCAAAGACACCAATATATCATAGATTGCTCAAAAATGTGAAGCAGCACGCTTTTTTAATGATCATTAATTCATTGCACTCTATACCTGGCAAAAGTTTTAACAAAATAAAATATGATCATGCCTTGATTTTAAATTATTTAATTAGGACAGTAAGGTCTGACTTTGCTTAGACAAAAGTCACTTAACAGAAATAATGTCCAGTATAGAATATAAAGTCATGCTGCAGTGGAAACAGAATGAATATTGTGTCTGACTCCATCATGAGCTTGGAGGACTGCATCCATACATCTCTGCACTGACTCAAATCACTGATTAATAAAGTCATCTGAAATGGCAAAGAAAGCGTTCTTGCAGGACTCCCAGAGTTCATCAAGATTCTTTGGATTCATCTTCAATGCCTCCTCCATCTTACCCAGACATGCTTGTTCATAATGTTCATGTCTGGTGACTGGGCTGGCCAATCCTGGAGTACCTTGACCTTCTTTGCTTTCAGAAAACTTTGATGAGGCTGAAGTATGAGAAGGGCTATCCTGCTGAAGAATTTGCCTCTTTTGTGGATTTTAATGTAATGGGCAGTCTTGATACCTCAGGCTGTTAATTTCTCCCCCATGTCCCCATACTGAATGTAACCCCAAACCATGATTTTTCCTTCACCAAACTTGACTGATCTCTGTGAGAATCTTGGGTCCATGCGGGTTCCAATAGGCTTTCTGCGGTATTTGTGAAGATTGGGATGCAGTTCAACAGATAATTTATCAGAAAAATCCACCTTCTGCCACTTTTCTAAATGATTATCTAGAAGTCAAGTTATTATTTAATGTTCTTACAACTGGGATCGACGACAAGACTTTTGTCAGGTAGTGTATATTGATTGATCAGGTAACAGTGGTGATTGGTGTAAAGATACTGAAAATTCAGCTTTTCTTCACAGAAATAAAAAAAACTGATTTGTACTAAGAGTGACAAAATTTAAAACATTTTAGTGAACTATCCCTTTAAAGAGTACTGCATTTTGTGATAAACCAGGGGTGGCCAACCCTGTTCCTGGAGAGCCACCTTCCTGCAGATTTCAGCTGCAACCCATATCAAACACACCTGCCTGTAATTATCACGTGGTGTTCAGGTCCTAATTAATTGGTTCAGGTGTGTTTGATATGGGTTGTAACTGGCTCTCCAGGAACAGGGTTGGCCACCCCTGTGATAAACAATTGAGCATTAATCAAAAGACGAACATTTGATTTATCATATATCTAGTGCATGGACTTCTTTTAAGAACATGGTAACATTGGTGGTGTATATTATATATTAGTAAGCTTTTTTCTGTGTGTGTGTGTGTGCCTTGCAGAAAGATCATGTTCCTTCTCTTCTGGCTATGGCCACTGCATACATGATCCTGAAACAAACCCCACGAGCCCGAAACCAGCTCAAACGCATCGCCAAGATGAACTGGAACATAATTGATGCGGATGAGTTTGAGAAGAGCTGGCTGCTGCTTGCCGACATTTACATCCAGTCTGGGAAATATGACATGGCAGGAGATCTGCTGAAGAGATGCCTGCGCCACAACAAGGTGACCACACATTCACCAGGAAAAAACCTGGTGTTGTTGTCCTTTTATTTCACATTTTTTTCTGGATGTTCTGCTGGAAAAAAGTAAATACTAGTATTATATATTAAATAAAAAAAACATATACTAGTTGAATCTCTATTTATTTATTTTTTTGACTGTCATTTTGTCATTTTTTTTGTCAAATGCCATTTTTGTGGGAGGGAAAGGGAGGCTTAGGTTTGCTTTAAATTGTAAATCTAAATCTCAATAGAAAATGATTTTTAAATATATAATATATAATTATATTTTATTTATTTATATATTATATAATATTAGTGCTCTATTGAATACAATATTTTATGTCATGTTTTTATTTTAAATTTGCATAAAAAGAGCATTAAAATACTACAATTATTAATTATACAATATTAGGCATGGGCCGATAAAAGATTCTGACGGTATGATAGCCTTGGATATAAATATCACGGTTTCATGGTATCATGGTATTAAGATTACTGCTCTAAAATTAATTATTTTTAAATGTCTGGGTAGAAAACAAAAAAAAATTCCTCTTTGTACACAGTATATTTTAATTTGAAAAACATTTAAAATATTTTGGAGCGGTAAACATGTCAGGTTAAATAATTTAAATGAATCATTGACTGCTGTCTTCATTTAAAACAGCAACTTTGGAGATCTTTTCTGCTGAAGATACTATTGTCCTAAAAGACTGAAATTAGAAAGATGCAAATAAAACATCATACTCATACCTTAGGAATGTATTGCAGAAAATTTTGACTGTTTTAAAACCTTGACTTTTCTAAACCACGGTATACCTTGAACATGGTTATCGTCCCATGCCTATACAATATTATACCAATTATTAAAATACTAAAATCATTTGTTTTATTATTATAGAAGATCATTCAAGATCTTCTTCTATTCAAGAAAAGTAATACTTTGCACATTTTAATAAGTTCCTTTTAGTTTATGCATTATTTAACATTAAATAGCAATAAGTAAAACAAGTTTTTTAAAAATATTTATTTAAATGTATTTAATTTAAAGGGTAAAATTACTGAAAATTAATTAGAAATTGCTAACTATGATCAGGGCTATTAAAAAAAAATCCAAGTCAGTGAAAGTGGGTATTTTTATCTTAATGTATTTTTTTTTCATAATAATATTTGACACATAGTCTAAACTATTGAAGGTTTAAATTGTAAAAATAAAAGATTTTTTTAGGTAAGAAATCATAACCTTAATAATAATAATAATAATAATAAAATTTTTATTATTATTATTGTTATTATTATTATTATTATTATTATTATTATTATTATTATTATTATTATTATTATTATTAATAATAATAATCATCATAACTTTAATGATAATATATATATATATATATATATATATATATATATATATATATATATATATATATATATATATATATATATATATATATATATTAGTATCATTAATAATAACTTTGATAATAATAATAATAATTATTTTTTATTATGATTATTAATATTATTAAAATAATACTAACTTTAACAATAATAATAATTATTATTATTATTATTATTATTATTATTATTATTGTTATTATTATTATAGTTATTATTATAGTTAGTATTATTAATTATAATAGTTTATTGTTATTTTTTAAATAATAATAATAATAATATAATAATTAAATAATAATTACATAATTATTATTCTAATAATTATTAAAGTTATTATTATTAATTATAATAATGTATATCATTATTTTCATTTACAATATTTATAATAATAATAATAATTATTATTATTATTATTATTATTATTATTATTATTATTTAAAAATCTGCATTTTCTAAAAATAATAAAATACAAAATTAAATACAAATATTAAAATAATTAAAAATAATAAAAAAGGAATACTAATTTTTGGTAGTTATAATCAGGGCTATTAAAATGTCAATATACAGATAATCCAATGATGACATCTGTGTGACTTAATTTTTTAATTGACAAAATATGGTAAATATTAGTTATTAAATTGCATCTTTTTATTGCTACATTGTTTTAGCAGATGGTATTTTGTTATAAGCAAAATTACATTTGGATTAATAATTACTTTGTTTGTAAATGCTCAGTTCATGTTGTCTAAAGTCCTTTTTGGTAACTGTGCTATGCTGATGTTTTAACATGTTCAACACTAGTCCTGCTGTAAGGCGTATGAGTACATGGGCTACATTATGGAGAAAGAGCAGTCTTTCAGAGATGCTGCTATGAATTATGAAATGGCCTGGAAGTACAGCAATCAAACCAACCCTACGATCGGTGAGATTACAGCTGCTCTTGAACCATCCTCATGTGTGTTTACAATCACATCACTCACTAACACTCACTGCGTCATCTTTGTTTACCAGGCTACAAGCTTGCCTTCAACTACCTGAAGGCCAAAAGACACGTGGATGCTATAGATGTGTGCCATAAAGTGAGTATAAAAGAATAACTGCGGCAAATATAAATATATCTTATTAAATAAATACTATACTGAGACAAGCAGTCATATTACAGAAGTAAAAGCATGTTTCCATGTCAATCACATTTTTACATATCTTTTCAGACAAAAATACCTTGAGCTAAACTTCATTTACAGTTGAAGTCAGAATTATTAGCCCCCTTTTGAAATTTTTTTCTTTTTTAAATATTTCCCGGGAAACAAGCCTGGGCACGGTTCGGATAGCATAGTGCGAGTAGGCCCTTAGATGCACTCGGTAGATAGCATCAGAAGAGTATCCTGACAGACTATGCTGTCACAAAATGCGTCTTTTTAAAAAGAAGACGAGCAGCAAATCCGGATTT